TAATTTCTTCCCTTTCCCATTGAGGAGGGAGAGGAGAGAGCAGTTGTGGTGGATGGATTTCAGCTGGCCAGCAGGGTAAAACCACCACAGGATCTAAACAATGTGGCCATCTAGTGTTCAACCACCTTGCCACTTTGGTACAAATACTGACCATTTGGTCAAGATGACAGGTAACTTCAACTGAGAATTGTACATGTTGACTTGAACAAAGAATGCTCGTCAGTAAATGGTGTTCTCTGAAATGTGCAGCTTTGTGCTTTATTCTCTGCTTTTTTTTTTTTTTTTAATTTATCCCAATAATATATCCCAATAATATTTTCAGTTGCTCTAACAGGTCCATGTCCTCCTTGTGCTGGGGGCTCCAGAGATGAAGACAGCACTCCAGGTGGGGTCTCACAAGGGCAGAGCAGAGGGGCACAGTCCCCTCTCTCTGCCTGCTGGCCACCCCTCTGTTGGTGCAGCCCAGGATGCAGTTGGCCTTCTGGCTGCAGGTGTGCACTGAGTCAAGCTTTAAACTGACCAGAACCCCCGAGTCCTTCTCTGCAGGGCTGCTCTCAATGAGTTCTTCTCCCAGCCTGTGCTCCTGTCTGGGATTGCTCCCACCCAGGTGCAGCACCTTGCACTTGGGCTTGTTTAACCTGATTAGTTTTAAGCCATACCATCACATCCTATATCCTATACAGTGCTTCATATACCCTTTTGGCCACTGGGGCAAGCTGTTGATTTATGTTGAGCTTGCCATCAACTGAAACCACCTGGTCCCTCTCTGCAGCACTGCATTCCATCCACTTGTCCCACAACTTCCATGTATGTACAGGGTTACGTGGTCCCAGGTGCAGAATCAGGCATTCACTCGTTAAATTTCGTATGGTTTCTCATTGCCCAGTGTTCTTGTATATCAAGATCTCTCTGTATGGCCTCTCTACCCTCAAGCGAAGCAATGGCTCCTCCCACTTCTGTATCATCTGCAAACTTACTTTTTGTGTACTCAAATCCTGTGTCCAGGTCATTGATAAAACACTGAAGAGAACTGGCCCTAAAATTGAGCCCTGGGGAGCACCACTAGTAACTGGCAGCCAGCCTGAGGTTACTCAGTTTACTACAACTCTTTGAGCCTAACCATTAGACAACACTAAGAGCTCTGCCAAATTAACTCCCCCCCCTCTGTCCTGTGGTAGTCTGTCCTTCCCTTCTCCCACCATCCCCCCTCTCACCCCCAATTCACTGCCTGCCCTTCATCCATATTATGGGTAATCCTGTCATGACAGGATATCAAGTTAATAAGGTATTCCCTTCATGAAGCCACATCAGTTTTAACCAGTCAATGCATTGAATTTCAAGCACTTCTCAATAACTCCTAGGATGATTTTCTCCATAATTTAATCAGACACCAAGGTGAGACTGACACGCCTGTAATTATGAGGGTCCTCATTCTTGCCCTTCTTGAAAACTGGAGCAATGTTTGCTAGCTTTCTGTCAACTTGAACCCTTCCCAGTCTCCCAGAAAGATTTCACAAAAACATCAGCCAGTATTTTCAGTACCCTGCGATGAATACCTTTGGGTCCTATAGACTTACATTCAGCAAATGCCATTAATCACTCCCTAGTCGCAGTCCTCCAACCCAGGACTCCAGAGGTCCCAGTGCCCATCACTAGTGTTAAAGGCAAACACCTTGGTGACTCCTCATGTGTGTTTGGATCATCATCCACCTAATCGTGACCCTGTCCTTCCTATTCCAGAGCCTCAGATCTGTTGTGTAAGGGAATCTGGGAAGGCAAGGTAGATGAGAAGGACCAAAGACTTATTTCCATTCACCTCTATCCCTCATGTTAATCCCATTGCCTTCTGGTTAGTGCTGATACCACAGGAGACATGCAGCCATAACTTCCTGCCAAGTGGTCACCATTGCTTAACCTCCCTCAGGGGGAACATGTCTGGTGGACTAAGGGTGTCGGGACAAAGAAATCTCCTGGCTACCTTGCAACTCTCACAGAATCGTTAAGGTTGGAAGAGGCCTTCAAGATCATCTGGTCCAACCATCACCCTACTACCAATGTAGCCCACTAAGCCACATACTCCTCTTGGCACACAGCGGTTGCTGCTAGTGCTGGTTTCCCGTGGTTTGAGCAGCTTTCCTGTCTGAACAGGAAAGGAGTATTGCTAAATTTTAACACTATGTGAGAGCTGTGTTAAAAATCGTTTGCCTCTTATTGGTATTTTTTTAATCTTATTTTGGAAACGGGACTGTGGGATCAGCAGAACACCCACTGAAATTCGTCCAGCTAACCTCTTGGATGAAGGACAGCCATTAATGCCTGATCTTGGCATTGAAAAGTGATGTGTTTAGGGATCTAGCACTGACACAGAAACATTATCAGTACAAGAGAGAACAGAAATAAAAGACTACTGCTGTATAGGTCAACTTGTAACTGAAACTGGTGTCCCTACATTTCAATTTGATATTTGAATTTTAGAAATCACAGAAATTAAATATACATGTAATGGTCCAGGGAATGAAAAGCTCATGAACGGGGTATTAAGGAATAAAACCGTAATGGATTATTTGTCTTTGTTTTAATTTTCTACTAAACCAATGTTACCTAATGAATAAAATCAGCGAATTGTTGACTTTTATTGCTTCAGAGCTGCCTGTCCTCCTGGACATGGTAGTTAAATTTTTTGGCAAGTTTCAAGTTGTGTCCACTTCTATTCCCAAATCCCCCCAGATCCTCAGTGCTGCCTATTCTTTTGGACTTGCCTACTCATAACAATCTGACCAACTTGAGCTGTTACTGACAGACCATAACACGTAGGCAGAAGAGCAGCTGCCTTGGGAGCGGGGTATTGGGAATTAGAAATAAGTGCTCAGTGTCAGTTTTTATTGGTGAATCTTTATGGGACACTATTAAGCATGAAGAGTGCTGGATCATACCTAAGACAAAAGGTGAAGGTTACACAATGCATCAGTTACACAATGCATCATAGGACAGAGAAGGATTAAGGTTTTTCTAGAGCTTATAGTACTGATTTTTTCCTCAGAAAAAAAGTAGAGATTAAAGTAGAGTACAGGAGAGAGACTGTAATGGTGATGTGTTCATTTATTAACACAGGCTGATTCATTTATTATACAGGCTGATTTTATTACCTTAGGGTCTAAATAAGAACATCTCAAGGAGACCAACTCCTGGGAACTAATTTAGAAAGTACCAAATACTCCTCATCCATAATCACAAATATTCATTTTTCCTACAAGCAGGTCTATAAACATGAGTGCCTATAGTGTAATCAGATTACTGCCTGCTATAGGGAAAGCTTCTTCTTTGGCTAATTCATTAAAAGATATCTAAATTTTTTCTATACATCTGGCTATGCAATAAAGCAGTTGAGTGCTTTGTGTCTGCTACTGCCCCTATCCCAGGGTTTCTTGCTCTGCATCTGTGTTGATTGCCTAGAGAAATTCAGAGGTGCGCAATACTTTTAATATTTTGTTGGTTTAATCAGGAGTGGATAGGATACGAGTAATGGAGGTCGGACTAATACAGGCTGGGGAAAAAAAAGTTAAAATTCTTTTAGGGCAGAGAATCCGAATCTGTTATGTGATGGACACTTGTAAGCTGAAACTCGGGAAAAAAAAGATACCATTTATTGCAGTTAAAGAGGAGGAGGTTGTAGATGACTCGGTAAAATGTCAGTCTGAATTTGAGTCAGATAAATCAGTCAAATACAGACAAAAAGTGTTAATAACTCTGCTATTAAAGCTGCTAATATTATAAATACTAAGGTGTATTCAAAAGCACTATAGTTTCATGTATTGTAGTAATAAATCAGTGTCAAAGATTTCTTCATCCTTGTCTTGCTCTGGTACTTAAAAGGATTTTAAAAATGCTTCCACTATTCTTAGGGAGCTGAATTGAAAGAAGATACGGGAAAACTTCTCAGCCCATTTATGGTATCGAGTCAGGAGAAATAGTCAGTCTTTAAGGCTGGTGTTGTCAGAGAACTCTGACAACTACATTATGCTCTTATATCTTGGTTGAATTCAAAAGGTTGATGTTGAACTAATAAGAACGTCAAAAATGATGGAAGAGAACGTTATTTGAAAAAGCTCATGTCTATTACAAGAAAGAGGAATGAAATAATAAGGGGTGAATAACAACTTGTTCAATCAACTTGACCGTACTGCCCCATTTTCAAAGAACTATTGCAGCCAGTTGGTTTTTTAATAAGCAAAAGAAAAAAAATCTGTGAACTTCAAATGTGTTAATTGCACAAATATTAGCGCACATTTCCAAAGCATGTTTTAAGCTTCAAATGCTGTGTGTTGTATTAAGCAAGCCTAATGCAAACCAGCGCTAATGAAAATGTACTGAAGAAGGTCTTGTTTTATCTTTGTCAGTGTTAGTTTTTTTTTAAATATGACAGAAAAGTATCTGTTGTAACTTAGCAGTTTTAAATACAGGCTTAAATATAGACTTTAAATTCAGGACCAGGTACTGCGTGTGTCAGATCTTGGGTACTCAATCTTATGTCCTCTAAAAACCTTTTAATTAAATGTTTGTAATAAAACACTGTTCCCGAGAACTGTATACTTCTATGCGTAGATAGAAGTAAAATGAGTTTTGTGAGTTTTGTGCTGTGATTAATTTTGTATAAATTTGTATATGCACGTTATCAGGTTTCCTAACAGCAACACCTGTAAACGATGGTCAAAAAGATTTATACACCTATATTTACCACCAGGCTTTGTTCAGTAGGTTTTTTTGTCTCTGCGTTGCATTATATTTTCACTACTTTCATTATTTTGTCTTACAGCATTAGCGAAGGTACACGTTTGTATACAAGAAAAATCTATTATTTTTTATGATTTTTTTTGAGTTGTGTACGTATAATGTTATTATATAGTTTAAAAGCTGTACAAAGAACTATTTTGCTTTTTGGGGTATTTTATTTTCTGGCTGGTTTACTTTTTATTTTTTTAAAAGTTGTGTTCATTTTCCAGAGCAATGACAATGAAGAACGCCTGCAGGTCGTAAAACTTCTAGCAAAAATGTTTGGGGCAAAGGATTCCGAGTTGGCATCTCAGAACAAACCGCTCTGGCAGTGCTACTTGGGGAGGTATATGATGTTTTAGTTCTTTTCCCAGGAGAGAAAAAAAAAATCAAAGAATTGTAATTCAGTACTTTTCAATTCTTCTGTCTCTTTTATTTTCCTCAAGTGACATAGCTAAGTGTGTTATCCTCATGCTTTATCTGAAATCTGGCAGGTAACACTAGGGAGATTATTTTGTATATATCCTCTGCATTTATGATTCTGCACAGTAAACAATTACAAATCATCCTTTTTTAATTCATATTTTGCAATTATCTTTACTGCTATTGCCAAGAAAAATAGAACATTTTATTAGAATTTTTTTAACAAATGATGGAATCATTATAAAATATATTCAGTGATGGATTAATTTTAAAATAATATCAGATAACATTTGCAGTATCGGGTATTATCAGATTTGTTTTTGTGACTTTCATGTACGGTATTTTACTGGCTTCAATTTTTTTAATTATTTGTGTGCCTTAAAGGAGGTATGTAGTATTTACAATTCAGAAAACACACTTAGTCTTTTGTTTTTAAAATATTCTGCCAGTTTGAAATAGGTAATAAAGCTGAAGTTTTAGTCAGAAGGAACTTAAATATGGATACTATGGTGAAAATACTTTTGGCTTGAGTAAATGAGGATAAATCATATAAATTATTATAATTGCAGTAGATTGTAATTTAGCAAAAAATCATATCAAAACCAGAATGTCCTAAACAAAAAATGTCCTAAACTTCTAAAAGTACAGGAAACTTATTTGAGGGAATTAATTTTGTTTGAAAGTATGTAACATTTAAAATATTGCATGTAATTTAAGAATCACAAATTTGGATCCAGAGAAAGATACTTCATTGTGTTATGATGTGAAATATGATCGTGTCCAATCTGTTGTTCACAATTACTGTTTTCCATTAGTTATGAACCACATACACATATTTACTTTTTTCAAGGATTTTAAATAAGTTGTTATAGTAATTACTAGAGAAGACATTCCTAAATTGTCTTCATTTAGAAAAGTACCTAGTTTTCACTTAAATAGGCATTTCTTAAAGCCTTTGTATTTGATAAATAAATGTTTCCACAGCAGTATGTTCTAAAATTTGCTTTTAAATTGGTTAAAACCAGGTATTTTGATGGCCTTGAAATGTGTTTTATCTTTCAAAACAACATAGCTCTCGTTGCAACAATAGCTTTGTTATAAAATTACTTTTCTCATGCTTAACTTTATGTACTAGGTTTCAAGCATCAAATTTAATTCAGTCCTCTAAAACCAAGTCTTACAGAAGTTGAATGATACATTTTAGAAGAAATTTGTACTAGGTTGGATTGGTTTGCTGTCTATCATACAGTTTAAAGAGGAGAAGAACATCGCAATCTTAAAACCATTTTTCAGTTACTGATACAGAGTTCATGATTAACTAGGTGGAGCATTAGAGAAACACTGCTTGAAATGTGTGAGACATCTTTCACTAAATAGCTGTTGTCTGCCCCTAGTTTTTCATGTGTACCAGGAGAGGATATTTCCCTTCCTGTATAGAACATGAATTAATTCACAAGTACAGGAATTTTTTCTTAACTTAAAGAAATTCAAATTAATACCATAAAATTAGAGCTGTTTTGCACAGGTAACATGCACAGGTGCGTGGGAGGCATAAAAATCTTTTTAGGGAGTATTTGAGACTGTGTAGAAATGATCTAACTGTTCTGGCGAATGATATTTTTTCTTGTTGTAACACATTGTCTTGTTTCTAAATAGGTTTAATGATATCCACGTACCCATTCGTCTTGAATGTGTGAAATTTGCAAGTCACTGCCTTATGAACCATCCCGACCTAGCAAAAGACTTAACAGGTACCAGATTTACTATAACATTAAAATTCAATTCTATGTCTCCTGGAGAAGTCAGGAAGGTTAGTTGTCATCCTTTGTAACATTCTGTGACGTTATGGAGGGGACAATTGAGGTTAGATTTCAAAATTGCAGAGTCCTGTGCTTTGAGCGCTGCTCTCAGGCTAAGGGGTTTGGGCATGAAGAATATCTTAACCAAAGAGAGCACCCTCCTTCTCTTAATAGTAGCTGCATTCCCAACTGCTGTTGAAATTAAACACTATGAGATCAGGCAAAATAAGCCTGCCAAACAAAGCAGTCATGGCATTTATTAGGGTGCAGAACAGAGACTTGGTTCCACAAAGAAGTGTGTAAATATTGTGCAGCAACTGTCTAAGGTATCAAAACAGTCCTTGGAACTGTGACCACAGCTCTTGGTTTCTGCTCCTTCATACCAAACACAACTGGCAGTTCAAGACCTCTGTAGGAGGAAAGCAACTGGCACGGATAAAAGCTTTTAGTATTTGTTGCTCCCTGTGACAATAAGGAGATAGACAATAAGATGTCTCTTAATGAACAGAAGTGCAGTTAAAGAGAATGGGTTGCTTTTTTCAAAGTTGATATGAAGACAGTATCTTCCCTTGATCACTAAACTCCCACTTGTTCTTTGGAGGTATTATCTTTGACTGTTTCCTCTAAGGAGGGAATTTAAGGGGCCGTTAATTGCATGGGGTTGCCCTCCTGCGTGTTGAACATTTGTCAGTTTTCACAAATACAGGCAAGCTATAGTTATCCCATAATCCCATAGTTAATTGTATTGTTAAGGCAGGTTTTTTCTTTTTTTTAGAGGAAAAAAAAAAGAAAATAGTTTCTGGATCTTTCTCTAATGGAATGCTAAAGCTTATCAGAGGTGTATTTCCAAGTTTGTTTCTTTTTTTTTTCCTTTTAACTTTTTCCTTTTTTTTTTTTTTGACATTGCTGAAAGACTTTGTGCCCCCTCTAATGGTATCCTCTGGGAAATGTAATGTTGTTTGCCCCTTTCTCTCCCCACAATGCTTATCAAAGTCAAATTGTTCATAAAATTTTCTCGCTCACTGATGTTGAAGAAAAGAATTGTTTTGCGCAACGGCAATAGTCTTCATTTGTTTTAGTTTATTATGTTTTCATGTGGAACAATTTTTAAAAGCTATTTGATTTTTAAACTTTGTAACTTCCATAAATGCAAAGCTTCGTTTCTTGATGTGCTGTTCCAACACTTGTGCTGATTACCAGCAATGTTAATAGTCAGTATTTCAGATGAGACTTGAAAATTTTCACTGTTCAATGAACAGTAATAAGAGTGCAGTAACCTCTGGTTATTTAGAGCAAACTTTGAATTTTCTATGTTTCATAATGTTCTCAGTGTTTCACTGATGTATGCTGCATACAGTGATCTTAATGTCTTTTTTTGTGTGCTTTTGTGCCTGTGTATGTGACTAAATTAACCTAGAATACACGGTTCTGAAAAGATAAATGAACTTTGCTAGTCTGTTCTGTGCTTTGGCAATTTTCTGAAATGATACGAAGTAGCTAAAACATTTGAGATTTATAAGCAGAAATCTTAAAATGTTGATGGTGTAAGATTTCTGGTAGTACCAAATATGTAGCAATATGCCAACATAATCTAGAAAAAAACTGTTCTGTGTTGAATGAATTAGGATTTGTCTAAATAAGCATTTTTAGCTTGGTGAAAGAGCGTGCTTCTTAAGTATGTCTCTTGATTTGTTCCTGCTTGCTCTGCTCATGTGGTTCACACTGCGGAGTGTTCTGGAGCACGTGAACCAGACTCCTTTTGGAAAGCACAGAAGCTGTGTTCAGGAGTGCAACTGATGTGCTCTGTCAACCAGTTATAGGAATCTGCAGGAAGAGAGTAGCCTCTAGCCTGAAGTAAGACTTTAAAACGTGTATATAGTGTGGGTATCAAGTTCTTAGAACTTCAGCATCTATTCAGCTCTATAGATGCAGTTCTCTTGGGCTGTAACAGTTGCAAATGTAGATTATAACTAATTATTACAAGAAATAATTTTTAATAACTTAATGCCAGAAATATAAGTATTGAGCATTCTAAGTAAATAAAAAGTTGATTACTCACATTCCAGTTAATCTTACGGAAAATTAGTGGCTTCTTATTGTCTGTACTCAAAACTGTAGAAACTCATGGTTTTCTGTTGGGTAGCCGCTAGAGAAATAAAAGTATCTGAACTTCTATTCCTCAACCGAAGTGCTTATTTTATTTTATTTCCCCAGAATATCTTAAAGTAAGGTCACATGATCCTGAAGAGGCGATAAGGCATGATGTTATAGTATCCATAGTTACTGCTGCTAAAAAAGATCTTCTGCTTGTCAATGATCACCTGCTTAATTTTGTCAGAGAGCGAACACTGGACAAGCGGGTAAGACATTAAGTACTAATGGTGGCTGTGCATTATTCTTCTAGTCTTTTGTATCTTACTGCAATTAGCTTTCTTTTTCTTAAAAGCAAAGCTTCTTAAAATGCTGAGCTGATTTTAAAATGACTAATGAAAATCTATATAATGCAAAAAATATCGAGACAGTGTACTTAATGAGATAGCTTTTGCCCCTGACTGGAATGCGACATTTTTCATTGTGCTGTATTATTATTTACTGTAGAATGATAAAAAAAAAAAATACTATATGCAGAATAAAACTATGTCACTCCAGTTGTCTAGTTAGTAATTAATAATAGTAATTAATAGTAATTTTTGAATAAAATGAGATCCTCGTAAGACATTCTAACATTTTTCATATGAAATTTTGAGAATAGGTTTCAAACTGAAACCTATTCTATTGGTAGAATAATAGAAAAAAATAATAGAAAAAAACTATTCTATTAGTAGAAACCTAAATCTATTAGTAGATTACTAATGCAAATTGTTCCACCATCAGAGGTGGCTACGTTGTCTGCTTTTAATTAGTTCATTCGAAAACTGTGAATGAGTGTAGTAGCTTTCAAGCTTGAATAGCCTTGAAATTTAGTTTAGCTATGTTTTGTTATTCGGCAAAACTTAGGATATTTTATGCTTACATGAGAGTATAAACGGCAAACTTAAAATTAGTAGTATCACCTGATTTTTCATTTGGTGACATGCTTTCCCATGGTGCAGACATAATACAATCTCAAGCATTCAATGCAGATCTGTGAAAAAGGGTGCTGGCTTGAACTTGTAACAATTCTAAATTCAAGAGGCATACTTGCGTAGTAGTTACCTGCATTGAAATGCTTAGCATAATAGACATAATGCGGTATTTGTCTTAGTGAGAAGAAACTGTACTTATAACCCAATTGAACTATTTTATATTGGGGAAGAATAGAAAATACTATGAAGCTTCTCTGTCTTCTCAAATTTGAGTTTTGAACTGCTAAACTGTGGTACTATTTCGTTTTCTCAAGTGGAGAGTGAGGAAAGAAGCTATGATGGGACTTGCACAAATATACAAGAAATACTCATTACAGTCAGAAGCAGGAAAAGAAGCTGCAAAACAGATATCATGGATAAAAGATAAACTTCTGCATATATATTATCAGAACAGTATTGATGACCGGTAAGTCAGCCTTTTGAAAGCTGAGTATTCTGTGGATAACCGTGGGAATTTTGTTTTTCCTTCGAGCTTAAGTGCTAACAAGAAGACAACTTGATAATTGTGTATGTTCTGATGAAATGCATAATATTATACAGCCAAATTTTATTTGTTGTTTTCTTCTGCTTGTTTGAGGCCAAAAGAGATTTTAAGAAGCTGAAAACTGAAATATTCCAATGTACTTCACCACTGCTTTCATAAAGGAGGGTTTTGTTTATACTTCAGTAACTTGCTGATTTTTGTGTTAAAATCCAGTAAGTAAGACTGCCTTAACAAACTTGCTTTGGACTTTCAAGTCCAATTAGTCAATATAGTGGTGGTGGTTATGGCATCTCACTCTGGAAGGTTCGTTTTTCAGTATGATAACGGCCAGAAATTAGAGCCTTGTGATTTGTGGCGAAATATGTCTGTCATCCCAGCTGTAGACCCATATTTCATTGTTCACGTTGAAAAACAGTTGCACGTTATGAACTAGTTTGGGAACTAGTCTGCCTTGACTAATCGGTTGGTCTCGTTGGCTTTAGAGATGGGTCTTTGGTCTTCACAGCGTGATCAAATACAAATGGCATTGCAAACCCACACAAATCTTTCAAAAAATTGCACTCTTAAAATGTCGCTTGCAAAATAATCGGTTATTTCTTGGTACCATGGAAGTGGAAGGAACTGTCTGGATCATCAGGTCCAATCTTATTTGTTCACAATTTCTTAAACTTCAAGATTTTTTTAAGCTAGCTGGGTTTGTGTTTTGACCACGTGATCTAATTGGAAGAATCTAGTAACCTAAGCTTGTGCATAAGGATTTTATTTTCATTTCCAGCCTAGATGTACATGATTGCAACATGGGTGTGGTTTCTATTTTATTTCACAGTCTTTCCTAAGTAACTGCCAGACCCGAGCCTTTTTCTCCTGCTTCTAAATGAGGAGCTTCTATGTCATAGCAGAAGCTTTCATTAATTTCATTCATTTCAAAATTATTGTTGAATGTACCAGTATTTTACTATGGAAGCAACAGAAATGGGATAAACTCCGTGCTTCAGGAAGGGGCTAGGGAGGTGTGGAGGAAAAGCCAGTTCCTCCTGACTGGTGTCTGAATTCTCCTTCCCATGATAATGTGTAATGGTCAATGTGACCTTTTTTCCCCCCTGTTTTAAGCCCTGTATACGAGGTCAGTTCAAAAATTGACTGCAATACTTATCCTTTGGGCCAATATTTGAGACATCTTTCTCTAAAATCCTTTGATTTTTGTCTGGGTTAATAAATCTGATAATGATAATGTCATCTCTTAAATGTCCTACTGCTAACATTAACAGTATGTCTTCTGTAATGATATCTTTCTGTTTAATTTATGCTGAATTTTATTGGAAGTTAGGTGACTTGACTTTAATTTTTTTTAATAAATATGTCTTTATAAGCCACAACCAATCTCTAGGTGTGTCTGAGTATTTCTGAATGAACACTTTAACAATTTAAGACCGCTTTCTTGCTTACCAGTTCCTTAATGCTGTCTTTCAGGTTACTTGTTGAGCGCATCTTTGCTCAGTACATGGTCCCTCACAACTTGGAAACAAATGAACGAATGAAATGTTTGTATTACCTTTACGCAACACTGGATTCAAATGCTGTGAAGTATGTGCCATTTTCGACTTCTTGCAAAATAATTTTTAATACAGTCATTATTGTAAATTGGTTCTAAATTGTTATGAGTACCCTAAGCCAGTGGACAAAAGTAGTTCAGCAACTATTAGTAAATGGAATGTGGCAAAACTGTATGCTCTTCAAATTAGAGTTTGAAAAAATTAATAGGGTGGTTTTTAACAAGGTGTGGTACCCTTTAACCATAAACAGCAAAAAAATAGTAGTGCCAAAGAAATGGCAAAAAGCTTTTGAGTGCATGTTAGTCCTTTTATGTCTTGAAAGAGATAGCACAGATTAGTAGCGTTGACTAGCTTCAGATCTTATCTGAAGATTTAAGAATCAACATACTCATTTTAGCAGCCAGGATAACTCGAGTGGGAAGGAATTATTTGTTTGTCTCTTCTCCTTCAATATTCATTTTACTTCCAATTTTGTTTGGAGAAGGTAATTACTTGCCTTAAAATTAGTGTATGCATGTGAATTTGAATAATGACAGTTTTGCTGCTGTAATGTTCATTATTTTGATTGAATTTACTTAGTTTTACTTTTTCATTTAGTAGTACCTAGTCACTTGAAAATTAAATATTTCTCATGTGGGAGAGTGTTTATCATAGATTGGCTAAAAAAACCACCCACAGCATTCAAATACTAGAGAAACTGGTGTTTGAATCCCCTGTGTTTCTTGTATAACATGCCTGAGTAAGTCACAGTGGTGTAGCACAGTAAAACAAACAATAATGTATTAAAAATCAAAACTGCTACTGTTCTAACATTCTTTGGTATAGGCTAAACAAAATGCAGAATGTTTTTTTTTCAGAACTTGTTATTTCAGGCAACAAATAACTTCTGCATTCTACAGTTTTCGTATGCAGTAGTATGTATTTTAAAGATTCAGTATATTCAGTTAGTTAAATAGGACTGACTTTTACTTGTGAATTCCAGAAGTTTTAAAAATGAGTGTTTTTTTTTTAATTCCTTTTACTATTTTTTTTTTTAATTTTTAGATATTTTTTCATGGAAAGTGTGCTGATTTTCAGTTTTGTAGACTAATGCATCTCTTACAAGTCTAATCACGTCCACTTTTTGCAACTTGTTCTAGTAACTGCTTTCTGTATAAGAAAAACGTTGTTTTGATGATAAAAATCTTAGCCTGCTTCTTGGAATGTTTTTAGAAGAATGATTTTAGACTCGTACAAATGAGATTTTTATAAGACAGATATCAGTTACTTCCCGGTTCTTTTAAAGGCAGTGTAGTTAAGCGTCTGAAATAAAAACTCATTTCAAAATCACATTTTGTACCAGTATAGTATGATCAATTAAATTTTCCATATCATTCAGTTAGGAAATATTTAGAATTTGCTCACACAGCAATGGTGTTCCATGTGACAGTAAGGTTTAGAAGACGTTTAGGAGAATGTAAAGGCTCTTGTTGGGCAGTTATGTTATTTATTAAATAGAAGACTTTGACAACTCTTTTTTTTTTCCTCTTCCTTTTCTTCTATTCTTTGTTTTTTTTAGAGCATTGAATGAAATGTGGAAATGTCAGAATCTGTTACGACATCAAGTAAAGGATTTAGTTGACCTAATAAAACAACCAAAAGTAAGTGAATATGCAATTATACTTAAAAACAAAACAAAACAAAAACTAAAAAAGCCAACAAAAAAAAAAATGAAATTCTCTTATTTCCATTACTTCCGTCTGAAGCTTAATATTACTGACAGAAAATAATTCGATTCTGTTAGACAACACTTTCTGTAAGAAATCTGTATATGTTTTATCAGTAAGAGTAGGTGTTTTTAAGATTCTTTTTAAGTGTTTGCTAACTGCTTAATACTAAAATATGTGCTCCCACTGTTTGAGAGCTACATGTTGCCAGGATTGTTCTGGTTCTCAAACGAGAAAAAGATGGTATATTATTTTTGACCGCCAGATTGAATAATGAAGAAAAAATACCTAACATCCTGATTTCTTATCTTATATAAATTAGTAACATTTGAGAAATGAAAGTATTTTATCTTTATATGTTACTTGTTTCTCTTCCCTCTTGGAAACTTCTTAAATGTTGTGTTGGAGGTGACAGTGAATTCTTTTTTTCCTAGTGGGCATATTTCTAAAAGATAAACATACCTACAGGATTTGGGATATTCTCACAGAGTAAAATTTAGATTTCAGTTATATGTATATGCACATTATCATAAAAAAAAAAAAAAAAGTGATTCTGCATGTCATTTGGAACCTGATTATGATTTGACTTCAGTGCTACAAGTTTAATCTGTTGGTGCTTTAACAGTAATAGTGTATCCTATAAAGTGTTACTGTGTCCATATTCATATATTTAGGTCTTTTATATGTTCATATACTCAAACATCACAGGTAAATTTAATGCAGTTTTAGGATTGAATTATAATTTTGCTGAAATTGTTTGAACGTAATGAAAGGGTAACTGCATTTTTACAAGTGTAATTGGATTATCTAACGTCTGCTTAGAAATGCTACTGTCTCGCAGATAGCAGTAGTTCTATGAAAATCTTGGTCTTGCACTCCTTTTTGAGTTATATTCAAGGTGATTGCAGTGAAATTCATAATTTTGCTTTAATGCAATTAAAACATGACGTAATGTTGTATTGAATTCTTCAGTGCAGTAATTGCTAATACAGTAATAATTCATCATGTTTTAGTGAGTGCTGAAATAATTTTAATCTACTTTTTTATATTTTTGGTGTAATTTAAATAGATTTGTGTGTGATATAAAACTTGAGTTAGCTTCTTGGTATATTCTGCATTTCAGTTGAAAGTGAAAATCTCAATTTTTCTCTGTTTTCAGGGGGAAGTAATGAAAGTGCTTTCTTGGTTGTAAAATATCAAGTGTCACTTAGAATTAAATGTGTAATTTTAATAAATGCCAGCATAAGCATTGCCTTGGAAGTGGGGTATTCTGTTTACATGTTTGCTTTTGTCCATGTGCTTTTCACTGCATCTTTCACGATTAAGCATTGACTCTCTACAGTTGAATGCTTTTTGTGTAACAGGAGTGCATGTGTGATCTCAGGCAGCTTGTGATGTTGCTTTCAGGCAGTCTGAGGTGCTGTTGTGGGCGACAACGCAGTGTTGAGTGAGGGGATAGTTCTTAATTTAGTTCGCTGTTTATTAACATAAGCTTTTAATTATTGATTCTGGTATTGAGAAATGAAAGTGAACAAATAAACACTTCAATAATCACCCTTCAGTGCCCTATTAGACACTTCTCTTCCCCAATTCACGGTCTCCAGTCCCCTTGCCACACGCTGTGGTCATGGTGTGGTGGTTCCTGCTCTTTTGCTGCAGCTCAGTACTTAACCCACTGCTCCAGCCTGGGTACCTCCACTGGCTGCAGTCCCTTTAGAGTCATGCCTTCTCCCTGCATCTCCTCTCCACCCCTGCTCAGGCAACTCTTACGCTTGTATCTGTCCTTCTCTCATGTCCCTTCTTCCCCTCCTCAGGTGTCTTTATGTTTCTTTGTTTTAAATTTTCATTCAGAAATCTAGAAACCATTCTATGTCAGGAGAGAATTTTGAGTAGGTAGTAAGGAGGGAAAAAATAAGTCAGTAAGGATGATCAAATATGGGAACAGGTTGTCTGGCAAGGCTGTGAAACCATCCTTGTAAATACTTAAAAACTCAGCTAGATGAGGGCTAGAGCAAATTGAGTAGACTGTTCAGCCAGGTGAGCTGCAGTTGTCCCTCCTAACCTAAACTATTCTGTGATTATAGATCTTTGAATTTTCCACTCCACTGTTTTTTCCCTATCTTGGAAAATTATTTTGTCATATAGAGAAATTCTACAGGTTCTCCCCCTTTCAGGCTTTTTTTTTTTTTTTTTTTTTTTTTTTCCCCCTGCTTTAGCCTTTCCCCAGTGCAAGCACTATCTAGGAGATTGAATATGTATTAGGAAACTTCCCATTTCTCTTGATTATAACTTCTCCTAATTTGAGACAGAACAGACATCAAATCTGACTTTAAGCTGAGATACTTCTCCGAAGAACAAAAGCATAGATCTCATCTCTTCTTATTTTCTCCTACAGTAATGGTATACAGTTAAATAATACAGATAAACTTGCTTGTTCACATGTGGAAAACTGTGTGAATTCTGTTTTGTCTGTATTAGAAGTATAAACTTTATTTGCTGTAGATGCGCTGCCGTTCAGATGCTTCCATATCGTGAATGCAAGATGAGGTAGCTAAGATGCCACAGTAGAAAAAAAGAAAATGTTTCTTCTGAAAAGAAATGCATCTTGATATCTTCAATCTGTCATTATTCAGTGGAGTTATACTACTGGAAGGTAAAATAATCCTTCTGACTCAGCTGGTTTCATGCTGGGATGAGTGCTTAGCAGTTTGTGCAACTTAAATGTTGTTTTAATGAGACCTTCAGCCAGTACTTGAAGGACCTAGACAGTACTGGAAGAGTGGAGACCGAACCAGTACAAGGAATTCCACAGTGCAGGGTGGTTTTTGTTGTTGTTTTTCAGAGTTGCAAGAGGAGCAAATGCAGAGATTCTGTATCAGGTGACATTATTTGAAATCTACACACCAGATGTGATTTCTGGTGTGTTTTTTTTGTTTGTCTCCCCCAACATCGTTTCTTGTCTGCACATGCATGTTCAGCTCTGACAGCGAAAAGCCTCAAAAAAGACAGCATTCTGCTGATGCTAAAAAGTGACTGAAATTTTTGTAGAAATATTTAATGGCTGGAACAATGTGTTTAGGTGCCCATTTCACAAGATATAGTGCTCACTGAAAACACTGCTTATCTTAATCTCATGGTGTATTTTTGTTATGCTTCAGCCTTTCCAGGATTGGCACAGTTCTCAAACATTGCAAGAGTTTGTACAAATCACCTAATTACCTGATTCATTTCCTTTTTATTTTTTTTCAGTGATGTTAGAACTCAAAATTTGCTTTTCTTTTGCAGTACCTCGTCAACTGCACAACAGAAATTTACTCCAAAAAGTTAAAGGAAGCTCCCTTCTAGAAATAAATACACACATCCCTGTGTTAGCCAGAGTTATTGTAATAACCAGTAACTGTTATCTCCAAAGCTGATATGGCTTGTTTGAACTTTATTTGAAATCTATGTGGAGATTTCATGAAGAAAAAACAAACTACATATGCCTGAACAAGACTTTGACCTCTACCTTGAACATTTTCCCCTCTACTCTATAATAATCTGAAGACTTTCTTAAGAAAATGGTAGCGTCTTGCAGCACTGCTGCTTAATGGTTCTTTCCCGACGTGAACCTGATGAAAAGGCCCACCACAAGTCTTTGTTTGCCTCATGTTGAGTACCTTGATATAAGGAATATTTGTCTTCTAAGCTGAGCCTTCTTTCTGAGTTCATTTGTCTTTGTTTTCCTGTGTGTAATTTTAGGCTTATCTGTCATCAGTTTTGTCTGTTTAAGGCAGTTCTAGCAATGGTGGCAGCTAAGCAGAGTTTTTTAAAAATGAAATGCTTTCCATTGAAAGCTCTTGAAAGGTGGTCAGGTTCTCATTTAAATTTTTTCTCATAGGACTATCATTTTATAGTTGTAACTATACAACTGTTCAGAGATTATATAGTAGATTAACAAGTAGTAGTAGTAATAATAATAATAATAAAAGTTTACAGCACGTGAGAAAGATCATGCCTGTGGAAACATTCTCTGTCTTTTACTTCCTGGAGCAATCTAGCATTAAATTTACTGTGGTGTTTTGGTTTCTAACATACTGATGTGTTAAAAAATGATAGGTACTGATTTGTTGATAATGCATCATTATGGAATTTTGCTCATTCAGTGGATATATATAATTTAAAGTTTTTACTTAATACATTTTTCTTTTTTGTGACTTGCAGACAGATGCCAGCAGTAAAGCTATATTCTCAAAAGTGATGGTAATAACAAGTAAGTCAGTTGAAGTATTTATACCATCTAAAAATTAAGGTCGATATATATATTTCTTTCTTCTTTTAAAAATCACTTTAGATAAGCTTATAACAAATAAGCTTTGTAACAGGCATGTGCCCTTCAGCATTTATTATAGAATGTGTATTAATTGGTGTTAACTAAGCTGATAAACTACTTATTGGCTTACCTGGTTTTGATGTGCCAGTATTGTAAGTGCTGGGAGAAGGCACAAGAGTTTGTGTTTCAGTAGTAGGACGGCACATTGTAGGCAGAACTGTGTAACCTAAACTCTTACCCAAAAAAAAAAAAAAAAAGCAACACTTCTTCTTTCTTCTGGTACACCCTTCAGCCTGGTGTACCAATAGCATTAGTACCAGTGAGAAAGAGAAAAACTTACTTTACAATTCTGAACTTCTGGTTTTAAACAAAGCTTTTTTAAAAGATGCAAACTGTTATTTTGGCAAAAATAGTACTGTTTAAGGGCAATGTGGAGGAAAAACTCAATCATGCTGCTTGGTTGGCTATGTCCCAGGTACTTTTTTCTTTACTTATGATATGTTTAATATTTATTATATAATTTATTATAGAATATTATTGATAATTGTCTATTAATATGTTGGTGTGAGTCTTTGAACTTGTGTAACATACAGTCCTGATATTTATTGAAATAAATAGTCATTTCTTTTGCTTACTTAAAGGAAACCTTCCTGATCCGGGGAAAGCTCAAGATTTCATGAAGAAATTTACACAAGTTCTAGAAGATGATGAAAAGATAAGAAGTCAGCTAGAAATGCTTGTTAGCCCAACATGCTCGTGCAAACAGGCTGAGGGATGTGTGGTAAGAATAGTTCTTAAAATACACGAATGTTTTGGGAACTAAATTGATTATAAACTTAATTGAAACTTAAATTGCAGAGGGAAATTACAAAGAAGTTGGGCAACCCAAAACAACCAACAAATCCTTTCCTGGAAATGATAAAATTTCTTCTTGAGAGAATTGCTCCTGTACACATTGATACTGAATCCATCAGGTAATTTTGTGTGTGTGTTGTTGTCTGTAGATCACAGAGTTTGAAATCAGGGTTTGTAATTTTGTCTTTAAGCACAAGCAGCAACGGATTGACGGCAGGAGGGTAGTTTTTAAGGCATATGACCTGCAATATTTTCTTCTGTTTCTCTTAGCTTAGGGGTTTCCATTCAGAGTGTAGCTGCACAAACAATTGATTTGTCATTCAGCACAGCTGGAACAAACTGTCAGTAAAAATGGATCTGTTGCTGATGGGGAAAGTTTGATTTGTGAGCAACTGACTTACATTAAAAGGAATTTCTGTCCATGGCTTTTAAGTACTTGAGCTTTTCAGTTTCTGCCTGTCACATATACAATGTAATGGAGCCATTGAGACTTCATTTAAAAATCTTTTTCAGAGAAGTTCCTAACATAATTTTTCTTTTGATCTTGGATTAAGTATAATGCATACCTAGACTTCTTTCAAATTTGAAAGTGCATTTAAAAAAAATCATGGAAGCAATATAAAATGTGCATTTAAAGTAATACTCAAATTGTTGGAAAGTTTTAATACTTGTTTCACCATGTACCAATTGACTGACCCCCGTACAGTAAACACGGGGGAAAAAAAATAAAGTAAAAAGTATATATTTTCAGTTTCTCCACAGAATTGGTCATCCTCCATCTCTGTAAATTATCAATAACTTTCTTCTTCATTTTTGAGACTGTCAGGCTGTTTTGTTTTGCTATAGATTGTTATTTGTGTCCAATTAGGAGTAGAAAAAAATGGAAAGTCTGAGTAGGTGTCTCTTTGCTTCCACTGATTATAAATATCCCTTACAGAATTTACTGCAGGTATATTCTGAATATTGTACAGTCCTTTACAGGGAAGCTGCCTACAGCACTTACTAACAAGATCATTTGGATAACCACCATTTCCCTTCCTAGGGTACAGTGTAAGAAAAAAACAAGCAGTCAAAACAAGCAAGGTGAAATATGCAGGAGATAAGTCTCTTAAATTTCCGATCAACTTCCAGCACAGCTGTTTAATGGTTATTTTATTTATTGCTGTTAGACTAAGCAGTATTAATGGTTATTTTCTATAAATTATTAAGAATCCACAGGATCTAGTACCCTAATCATAATTCTTATTTGAATTTGTTTCTTTTAATGCTCAAATTATTTTATTTCTTCGGTCATCCTTCTAGACTAATGTGTAATGCTTAATCCATGATGCTTAAATGTTTTTTAACTTCATGCTTAATGGGTGATGAAGACAATCATATTGTGTATGTAGTTCAATTGCATTTATTTTATAATAGGCTTATGTTGTGTATGTATTGCAGTAAACACAAGGCCATGTTTTTATCTTCCTCTTCAGTGCCCTTATCAAGCAAGTAAACAAATCTATAGATGGAACAGCTGATGATGAAGATGAGGGTGTACCTACTGACCAGGCAATCAGAGCAGGTCTTGAATTGCTTAAGGCAAGTGTACTCTTGGTGGTCAGTAAGCATGTAAAAACTTTCTAAAGTAACATTGTTAAAATAAATTTGTAATTAGCCCTCAATATCTTCAGTCATAAGCATTTTGCTGGGTATCTGGAAGAATATCGGTTTGATTATGATTGTCAATGCACATCTTCTGTAAGTTATGTATAAGGCTATATTAGAAATCATTTAGAAGCTTTTCTACAAGTTAAAAGTAGCTCTATGTGTGACATCAGCAGCTGAGTTTTGAGTACTAGAGTGTGAATTCAGTGGATTGTGAATATAGTTAATACTGCTTCTAGAACTGTACCGTACTTGTTTATCTGTACAATGCAGTGGTTCTCCTGAGTTCCACGTAAATTGGGGTCTTATCTATAACTATTGTCTGTAGTTTTTCTTGAGACTCAGTTAACACAGCAAACCCTATTAAGATGCATTTCTGGGGACGTTGTATAGAATTTCTTACTCTGTCCTCCCTTCTTCCTTGGAGGAAAAAGGCCGATCACTATGTTAATTGCAAATGCTGTTGAAAGTGTGAAACTAAGTGCAGCTACATAGGTCTTTGACTTTCACTTAGTACTTTTAAAGCTAGTGTATTTGAGAGAGACTCTACAGTTTATCCTGTATTTGCTAGGAAAGGTAGTTGTGTCATACTACCATCATATAACTGAGGTCGTACTGGGAGTAGTCCAACTGTGGGTTGATCTCAGAGGCCTCAAAATCTACAGGACTCTCACACTGAAGCATTCAGAACATCTTAGATCAGCTATGACTCTGACAGCTTCCATGTACTTCTGATATTGGGGGCCCTAGAACTCCAGGTGGAATCTCATGAGAGCAGAGCAGAGGGACAGAATCCCCTCCCTCACCCTGCTGGCCATACTGCTCTTCATGCAGCTGAGGATACAGGTGGCTTTCTGGGCTGCTCCATCATATGGAAAGAGGCTAATAATCAACAAACACTTTAAGATGAAGGAAAGACAAAGTTTCAGAGAGGAACAGATGAGGATTTTGTTTTAAAGTGGGACGATTGTCATACTTGAAGATAGAGTCAGCAGAGTCCAAGAATATGAAGGAGAGGTAGAAGATCTGGTCAGCTCTGGTAGTGTCTAGGAGTGTCTGGAGACTGTATTGGGTACGTTGCTCACTACAGAGCAATATACCCAAGAGTTGTTCCACTTAGCAAGGAAAACAGTTGCATCTAAGAGGTCTGGGAGCACAGAAGCTTCATTCTTTTTGGAGAAACAAAATTACAAGATAACCACCATTATGTTTCTCTTAAAACCTGCTTCTGCTGTAACCCTGTACTTGCTAATGTAGACGTAACCACTGAGAAGTGCACGCTTACAGTAACAGCAGAAGTAGAGACTGCAAAATTGGGTAAAACAGATGAGACAATGTATAAAGACAGAAGGTTAAGAGATGCTTTAAAAAAAAACGAAAAAGAGAAATATGGATTATGTGATAAAAACAGACTGTTTTAAAAATATTCCAAGATGGCAGGAAAAAGTGACTTTTGAAGGAGTATTCAATCTACGTGGACCTTTTACAAAATTTTAACATGGCTTTTTTTTCTTTTTGGCAGGTACTTTCATTTACCCACCCTATCTCATTTCATTCAGCTGAAACTTTTGAATCTCTCTTGGCTTGCTTGAAAATGGATGATGAAAAAGTGGCAGAAGCTGCGTTACAAATTTTCAAAAACACAGGAGGCAAAATTGAAGAAGACTTTCCTCATATAAGATCGTAAGTTGTATATCTTATTTTGAGTAGTGTTTTTCATCACATGGGTTTTTAGAATCTCATTCTCATTCTTGCTTTGGCAGGATATAGTGTTATACTACATTCTTCTGGAAGAAAGTATTACTTCAGATAAAACAGGAAAGATTTGCATGACTTTAAAATGCAGTAGCTTTTTGAAGAATAGAAGTGAAATGTATGCAAAGAAGTATTAGCTGATATGTCCCTGATACTGCTATAATTTGTATAATTGCCTTTCAGATTCACTTCTTATAAAATTAAGTAAATAGCAATGTAAAAATGTTCTTTGCAATCTAATATCCAGGGAGTAGGGATGTGTAGATAAGAATATTTTGAAAAGAGCATTTTAGTAGCTTATGCAGGTAAAATGTTTGTTTTGCCACATGAGATTATATCAGTGAAAACTGCTGTATTTTTTTGCTTGCAAGTCACATAAATAACCATTTTTTCCTGTCTTTGAAAAATTGCCGAAACCAGGAGAATTATTAGCATTTTCACAGAGGTGTTGTATTCTATATATGTAAATAGTTATTCTTTGTTAGTTCGATATTGTGGGAAGTTTCTAGCTTTTGAAAAGGTGCTTATCTTTTTTTCCCTTTTTTTCAAGTGCTTTGCTTCCAGTGTTGCACCATAAAGCTAAAAAAGGACCTCCTCGCCAAGCCAAGTATGCTATTCACTGCATCCATGCAATATTTTCCAGCAAAGAAACACAGTTTGCACAGATATTTGAGGTAAAATGAAAATATTTAGGTTGCTTTTTATTAGTCTTTCATAGTGCATGTGTAAATTGAAGGTTACAGTGGCAATTTGTATGGTGAGTTAGTTGTGTTGAACTAAAAATAGTAGTAGAATATAGTTTTTAGTGTCCCATGATCCATCATTATACTGGAAGAGATTGCTAAGAGGAGTTGTGGATACCCCCTTTCTGGAAGCTTTCAAGGCTAAATTGGATGGGACTTTGTTCAACTTGACCTAGTGGAAGGTACCCCTGCTCATGGCAGGGGGATTAGGGGGAACTAGGTGATCTTTAGAGGCCCCTTCCAACCCAAGCCCTTCTATGATCATGTGTAAGGTTATATATTTTAATAAACTAGAGTAAAACAAAGTTTTGGACAGTCTGCTAGACCTATGAACAGTTCCTGGAAAGAAGACCCATACACCACTCCTCAACTCCATTGGGATTGGCCCAAAGTATTCAGTTTCTTACAGAAGTTATGAAAAACTGAATTATGGTAGAAATTATTTAAATAGATGTCATCGTTTTAATTGCAAATGTCCTTTTTAATTAGGGCCCACCAGTCTTTTATCTCAAAGGGTAAATCTGTCCACTACTGAAATTGCCATCTTGAGATTCAGTATGCCCACGTCTTAAACAGGAAATTACATTTTTAATCCATTGTTTCCCAGATGGTCCTTCTTGAGCTACCACTTTGAACTACCCAGATACGATTAACATTTTGTCTATTTCTTCTTGATTTTTCTTTCAATTCATAGGAGACCTACGGGTTGGAGAAGGTGTTTAAATCTAAATAGTCAACAGTTCTTTCAAAATTATATTTCTGAAATAGAAATGTGTGTCGCCCTCTTCCCCAACCCCTGACCGAAACGAGAAATAGATTATATGAGTAATATTTGAATTTGTTGCCTTTATTCTAGCCACTGCATAAAAGTCTGGATCCAAGCAATTTTGAGCATCTCATTACACCGTTGGTTACTATTGGCCACATAGCCATGCTAGCACCTGATCAATTTGCTGCTCCTTTGAAATCCTTGGTTGCCACTTTTATTGTTAAAGATTTGCTAATGAATGATAGGGTGAGTATTTTTAAAATCTTGTTCAAAGATTCCCCTTCTCCTGTAGTGGGATACTCATCAAGTACTCGTAAAAATATTTGGTTTTGCTGGTTCTACATTTTTTATGCTTCTCCTTCGATTTCCGCATACACTGTGTGACCCAGTTGAAAACTCACAATACAGGAAAAGTAGGAGCACTGGTTTGATAGTCCTTACAAAGATGATACGCTGTATAGCACAGCATTTGATTGCTCGTGTGTTCCCTTTTGTTAAAAGTAGTATTGTTACTGACTTTGCTCAGTCTATTGTCTTAAGTGAGCAAGTCGTGATTTATTTATTTTTTTTAGGAGTATGTGCGTTGGGTTAATGTGGCAAGCTTCCTGCAAGGATTGGCAGAGATGAAGAGTGATGAGTTCACTGCAGTTCCCATTCCCTTTCTCCCTGCCTGCTCAGTTGGGGTGGAAGTAAGGAGGGAGAAGAATTAAGATTGAGGCAGAGCCTGGGAAAAAGTGGGGTTAGGGACAAAGGTGTTTTTAGTTTGCCTTTAGTTCTCAGTGCCTTCCTCTGATTTTAACTGGCAACAAATTCAATTAATCTTCCTTAAGCCAGGTCTGTTTTGCCCATGACAGTAATTGGTGAGCGATCTCCCTGTCCCTGTCTCAACCCATGAACTGTTTCATCACATTTGCTCCTCTGATCTTGCTGAGGAGAGGAAGTGAGAGAGCAGCTGGGTGGACACCTGGCAGCCAGCCAAGACTAAACCACATGGTGCATTTGAAATTAAAATACAGTTTTTAAATGGAAGACTGTTAATCTCAATTTGTCTGAGAATTCTGTATTGATAGTGGTTAAAAAATGGAAAAAAAAAAAAAACCTTGTGTGTTGTCAGCTATATTTAGGAAGAGATTTACAGTCTAAAGCTATGCATGCGAGGTTCAAATATACTGGATATTGAAAATGTTGACAGTTGTTTTCAAAGCAGTGTTTATTACATGGAAATGACTGCTTTGGAGTGTAATAATGACAACAAAAACCCTTGTGCTAGTCATACATTTGCTGATATTTGAGTACTGAGGTAAGAACGGTATCTCACTTCTGTAACGGTTACTTCTATAAAATACACAAGGCATGAAGCTAACCAGTGAGTGCTGCTGTATTGTTTTCAGAAGCAAACAGGAAAGAGGAGATTACAGCAGGTTTCACTGAAGAGTAACAGTAGTGTAACAAAATGTAAAATTTGGTTTAGATTCCAGGAAAAAAGACGACAAAACTTTGGGTCCCAGATGAAGAAGTGTCTCCTGAAACGCTTGTCAAAGTAAGTAGCACTTAATATGTTTTCTTGTGATTGTGAGTGTAAAAGGTAATAAAGAAAATTAAGTGTCTGGATTCCTAGAGCTGTCAGTTCTGTTTGCTTGTCACTTTTCTAAAAGTAAAAATGATTAGCTATTTTAAAATTAACAACTCTATAAGAATACACATTTTTTTTGATTGACAGATAAAATAATTTGGTTTTGGGAGCATCTACTTTTACTTTTATAAATAAATACATTTTGTATACTCCATATTTAATTTTTATTGAATTTTTGTTACAGGTTTTGTGTGCAACACTCAAGTATTCTAGATGTAGTCACAATTGACGTTTGTTTTTTTTTTCCTGTTTAGCAGGAATTAAATGTCATAGGGACATTGTTAATGTCTTCCCTTTTCTTCGGAATTTTTAGTACATTTCAAGCAACTTTTAGTTTTTTGGAGTATGGAAAAAGTTGTTCTTGGATTTCATTTTTTGTAAATGAATACATGTGTTACATTGTATGCAGAGAAGAGTAATGTGAATAGAGAAAATAATTAAAAAAATACTTCATTTTTTTCATGCTTAATGTCACTTGAAGCTTGTTCTTTCTAAAGTTTATTAATTTTTAATTAATCTTATAATATATTATTATCATCTCAAATTTATTGTTATAATTTCTGTGCTTGCTGGTAGATATTCTTTCATTTTGCAGAGATAGACTTATGCTGTAGAAAATACATCCTATGTCTATTTGTCTTCAAATTATATTTAGAGAGATTATATTTCAACATTTTATTTTGTAATTAGAAAGATGCATGTACTTTGTACCATGCTGTTTGAGTTAATTAGAGCAGTTATTTCATTTCCAGTGCCTTTTGAATAAAGTTGCTCTGATGATGTTAAGAAGTTGTTTGCCTTCTCTCTTGAACTTGTTAAACCATTTTTAGCACAGGACCTCCTGGTCTGCTGGTTTTATAAGTTCTTTGGTTTCCAGCTTGTTACTGAGCTGATTATTGAAAATTTTTCAGTTATGTTTGGAGTTGATCTGTTAGTTTTCTGTGAGTTCAATTTTTATGCTTAGCAAAGGTATTTGCTAAGCAAAGGTATTAAGGTATTTTTCCTATTTGTGCAAGGCCAGGGTTGCATAGTACACTCCAAAGTCTGTTTAAAAAAAAGCTTGGTTTTCTTCATTTCATGAACTGCTAGTTTGTGATTTCACTTGAGTGTAACTTGTAGTAGTAAAGAATAATTTTAAAAATTTTAAAATGATTCGTGAAGATGTGTAATATCTCTTTAAAACCTTTGTTGTTGTTGTTGTTGATAAAACCTTACGGCTTGGCTATTTAGGAGTGAAATTGGCTTATAGAAAATCTTAAGGCAACTAGGAGTTGAAGCCAAGCTTGCAAGTTGTAAGAAGTATTTATTGGCAAGTAAAAACAGGTTACTGTGAAAATTGATCTGCAAATTTAATTAGCATTTATTACCATTGTGAAGCCTATATTTAATGACCACTGCAGGCCATACCATTAGTTTATGAATGGATTTCTCTGACAGTATTTTCTTTACTCTGGTTTTAAAAGCCTTTTTCTTCTTTTGTAACATGACTGTATAATAGAGCTAATGGGTATCTTAAAGCTAGCAGGTTTAATTATGAAAGGGGGAAGGAAAGATGAACAGAAAAATTGTATCCTCATTTAGGCTGGGAGGTGCTGTCCACCCTAACAGCCAGACTGTTAGATGGAGGTTGGGCTTTTGGATGCTAAACCTTAAGTGAAATGAAGTCTGTAGATGAATGTTTCATTGCAGTATTAATTATTAGACTCAAATTCTTATGCCCAGCACCCGAGTTTCTGCTCTCAAGCAGTAATCTCTCTTGACAGTGATCACTACTGAATATTTCAGTGCACCTTGCGGCTAGATTGAGACTTAAGTAGTAGCAGTAGCATTCCTTGTTTCTTTCTATATACACTGCAGTATTAGATTTCTAATCCTATTTCTCTAGCTGTGCTTTAAGGCAGGTACTGCTTCATTTTTCATTACTGTACAAACCTTGAAGTTCTGTTGATATTCTTGTGGCATTTGTGGCTCTGGATACTTGAATAGTAGAATTTTGAGCTACCTGCTGTTGTTGTAATGTGGATGTAGAAGGGAGACAGTGTTTATAGGATTGTTTTCTAGGCTTGCTTCATGGGGTGGGAACCCATTTTATTCTTACAGTGGAGATACAACGGTAACCTTGATCAGAGAAAAAGGCTAAAATTTACTGTTGATATTCTTTATTGCTAATTTTCATCTTTAAAAATTGATACTTATTCATTGCTGATGACTTATGTAAAGGCTTGTTGTATTATTAATTTCAGTTATCTCATGTGGCAAGTCAGGGATCTGTCACGTTATATTCACCATCTCAGAAAAAGAAATATTTTTTTCTTGAGCTTAGAATGCACCTAGTTCATGTTGTGCAACTAAATCTATTACAAGGGAGTCATTTGTGACTTTTGATATGGTTCTGACCTGTGTAGTATTTTGACTTGCTTGACGTTTTCATGTTGTATATAATCTAAACTTTCATTTTTAATCTCAGAGGAGAATTCTAGGCTCATGCAACGTAAATTGAAACAAGAAGTTCAGAGTGGATATAAGAAAAGAAATGTGAAAAGAGTCAGGCAGTGTAACGTGTTGTCAGGAGGCTGTGCAATCTCTATTCTTGGAGGATTTCAACACCCAACTGGATAAAACTGAGACCAACGTGGTCTGACTTCATAGCTGACCTTCATTTGAGCAGGAGATTGGGCTGGACATGACCTGACACTCCTCCTAATCTGAATTATCCTTTAATAGTTATCCTGTTTGGCTGCAAAGATGAAATTTAAAACATGAGGATGGTGCAAACTCATGTTTGTTTAAGTCTTCTGGTAGCCAGAAGCAGCGACTGGGGATTTTCATGTCCCAAACTAATTTCACAGGAATATTTAACTCTGAGGGGTTGCTGTAATCTCATCAAGATGTCATTAACACCAGCAGAGAAGTAGGGAACAGAGTGGGGGTGAAGGAAAATTGTGAAGGACCTGGGATTAGGACTTTGTATGTGGTGAAATGCCTAGAGGAGACTCACACAGTAAAACTAGGGGAAAGGGGCTGTGGAGGGGCAGAGAGAAGCAAAAGTAGCTTGGTGCTAATGCAGTTACTCAGTTCTGGGAGTGAAGATTGCTATGCACCACTTACTTGAAGACCAAATAGAGTTGTTTCTATCCTTGCAACAAATGGGAAGGCGTAATGATATACTGGTTATAAAATGAAGAAATTGAATTGATAAACTGTCAAGACAACTGCTACTGCTATTATTATTACGATGACCATCATCGCCTGATAGATACCTACCAACTGTTTCAGTGGAAGACCAACCGAAGGTTAGGGCAAGACTGAATTTCATTTTCGTTCCACAAACTCCATTTGTGCTTTTAGTTCTTGATAGCCTGCCTCCTGCTGGTGTTAGCCAATACACTTGGGTCTGTTGGCGGAGTAGATGGGCTGCAGTGCTAAAAATGAACTCATAAAGATAACAATCGTAGAATTTAAAGATCTGAAGGACCCATTACGATCATTTTGTTACATGGAGGAAAACAGCTGCATGATGGAAATTTGTTCAGTAATATTGTGAATGGTCTCTGTGAAGTTGGTAGAACTGCCTTTTCCATTAAGTACAAAATTCTCAGTTATTGTGTAGAAGAAACAAGTTTATATTAAAGCAGAGTAACCGGACTCAGCCCACAGTAGGTTCCTTCCAGTGCTAGCTTCATTTTTTTTCTACATTCATCTTAGATTTCCAGAACTTTTGAGTTCTCTCCTTTGATTTTTATTTCGCCATGATGTTTATTTGATTCAAATGAACATTTTCATTTTACTGGAAGAGAATATTCTTCTTTCTGCTTTCTTTATTGTCACTGCTCTGAAGAAAAAATAACAGAGATTCGGATACTAAAACAAACTTAATCTCCAAATTCATGCTTTACTTTCGCTAATGAAATGTGAAATTATTCAGTGTTTTGTGATAGCTGCTGGATTCTGCATATTTTTTAGAAGCTTGCCTTGAAAGACTTGATGTTTCCATTGGCAAAGAATAAGTTATCATCAGTAATGGTCTTTGAGGCTTTTCTTTTAATAACTGTTACAGAAATACTCTTTTCCAGGACCAGTGGTCTTAATACAGGTTGATACTCTACTGGTTGAAATGTCTATGAAGTGGTATTTAATTTATGCTTCTTAAATAATTTTATACTCTCAAATATTATACATATAAAGATTTTATAGGGATTATTTAAGCATAGGAATTATATGAGGATGGAAATCTGTTTCACACTTTGATCCACTATAACTATAAATTGTTTTGCCTATTCTACAATGTATTAATTAATAAATAAGGTCAATTAAGACAGTGTTGTCACAGGACAGAATACGTGATTGCTTAGTGGAAAGAACTGTTCAGACTTTAAATAAATGTTGTGTGACTTCTGTTTGCTATAATAAATGTTTAAGATTTTCAATGAAAAATTTTCTTTTTATCTGTCTAGTTATCTTTCAGTAGTGTGCATAGTACTTTTAAATTATGTTTTGCAGCCTTGGCAAGCTTATGTTAGTAGAAAGCACTTGAGAAAATACCGTATGATTAAACTGATAGATATTTTTAGATTATCTTACAATTTTACAACAATATGTGTTTTTATAATCATAGGTTTAATATATCGAATAAGTCATATTTATGATTATATTAAATATAAGTAAAATATTTTGTAATGCGTACTCTTGAAGTTATTTTTAAAGAGAGGCTTGTGGTGTGATTTGACTTTTGTATATCAAAATCTCTTTCAGATTCAGGCCATCAAGATGATGGTTCGATGGTTGCTAGGAATGAAGAACAACCACAGTAAATCAGGAACTTCTACTCTAAGGTTGCTAACAACAATATTACACAGTGACGGAGATTTGACAGAGCAGGGGAAAATTAGGTATGTAAAGACAATAAAGTTGTGATATCTCTGACGCAGTGGGGAAGAGTACCTACATTTTAGTCAAGTTAGTACTTAAACTATTCTGTTAGTATTTTAAAATGTTTATACAATTTGTTTTGTAAGAACTAATGGTAAGCTTGGCTGAATTCCTACGTAAGTTTGATGAGTCTTACTTTATTTTCACATTGTAGATATATTTTAACTTTTAATCTTCTTCATCTTTTTCTTCACAGGGCTATTATTCATATTGCATGAATAAACTGAGTAACTTCTTTCCCACTGAAAATTGGTTTTAATTTTTTTGTGCAGCTTGCCACTGCTGATGTACCAGTTGTTTGCTAAAGGTCTATAGGCAGGCTTTTTAATAGTAAATAATAGTATATTGCAGGAAATCAGGTGGGAATAGCTAGTGCGTAAGGCACTTCTGTTTGAAGGCAGACTTCATTCCCTGTAGGCCTCTAAAAGTGAGAGGAGGATGGAAATGTATAAAGAAGATTAAGTCTCAATAAATTATTTCCCTTTTAGGTGGTTGTTAGACAATTTTATTTTTTTTTTCTGGGTATCTTCTTAATCCGCTGCTGTAGGGGAAATGACAAATTGTCAGTCATTATTGTTTTCCAAACACTGAAAATTTCTGTCTACAGAAACCATTGAGTGCATGCGTGGATTGTGCCAGTAGGAGTAAAAGATTTTAATTTTGGGATAGAGTTAAATGTTAGACAGTGTTTATGCAAATTAAAACCTATGTTGTGTGTGTAAAATTGCAAATCTGAGAATTTTCTAGGATGTTATCTTTGTAGCAACATAGAGTCTTTCTTAAAGTTCCTGGTAAATAGCTGTTTTATAGTTTTAAATTCTGTAATATGACAGTTCATGGCATTTACTAGGGAACTAAGCTGACAGTATGTTAGCTTTTAGTATAACTGCTCAGAGATCGTTGTTGGCTTATCTAGTAGCTTGTCAACATATCAGTTCTGTAGGACCTGTGCATTTTCATGCTTGGAGTGATGATTCAATACCGTGTGTGTTTTAGAAATACAATTTTCCCACTCTTTTTGTGTTCCTGGTAACAGCTGTATGTAACGATGTGGTCAGTTCTCCGTTATTCAAATTACAGGAGGTCTGAGATACCTTCAGTGGAGGCAGAAAGCCGCAATGAAGTGTGAGGTTGCCCTGTGTTAGAGCCTGTTCGGGTCAAGCTAGGATTCTTTAATACAGTTCTTGTCATAATTTACAGTTGTTTTTTTTAAGGGTACCTTAATCTAGATAGCAAGATCCAGGGGATTTCCTTGTCTCATGGTCCTGTGGAGATGACAGGTTGCACCCTATTCCTGTTTCCAAGTCCATCCATTAGCAAGCCTCACTGCAAACCTCAAATGGGGAAGCAGAGGATGCTTGCCCCTGTATGTGCAGCCAGCCACAAACAAATGAACATAAACAGCAGAACCTCATCTTCCTAGGAAACCATATAAAACAAAGTGTAAATAGCCTGATAAGCCTCTAAGAATTGATGTTGAAGGAAAAACCCTTTCTGCTGATCCTTCCTCTATTTCACTACAAGACCCTTTGTCTTACTGACCAACTAGCCCAACTGGAATTGCTTGCTGGTGCATTTGTCTGGCTCTTGCAAATACACCCTCCAACCCCAGAGCCTGAGCCTCTTCATGGGGATGAATGATGATTCAACTGAGACCCTATGGTAAGGATTAAAGAGCCACACCACTATGGGTGACATTTGTAGGGTCTGTCTGTGTAGACCATCTGAGTAGGGAGAGGAAGTGGATGAGACCTTCCTCTTGTTGCCTGCTGGAGACAACCTAGCTTTTGCAGACCTTGGTCCTCATGGGGGACTTCAACCACACAGATATCTGCTGAAGAATCAACACAGCAGGGCATAAGCAATCCAGGAAATTCCTGAAGAGTATTAGTTACAACTTCCTGGCGTGAGTGATGGAGGAGGCAGCAAGGAGAGGTGCTCCAGTAGGCCTAGTACTCTAGCTTGCTAGGGATGCTAAGATTGAAGGCAGCCTTGGCTGCAGTGACCGTGAGATGATGAAATTCAGGATACTGAGAAGAGGGAACAGGGCAAAAAGCAAGATCACAATGCTGGACTTCAGGAGGGTGGACTTTGGCCTCTTCAGTGATCTACTTGGAAGAATCCTATCAAAAAAGGCCCTGGAGGGGAGAGGAGCTCAAGAAACCTGGTTTATATTCCAGGATCGCTTCATCTAAGTTCAAGAGTTCTGACAAAGAGGGTCTGTTCTGACAAATAGAAGGTCAGGTGAAGATACCAGGAGACTTGTGTGGGTAAACAAGATGCTCCTGGCAAAAGTTGCATATGAAAAGAAGTATGCAGAAGGTTGAAGAAGGGTCAGGTAACCCGGGAGGAATAGAGAAGCTGTCTGAGCATGCAGAGACAGAGTTAGGAAAATCAAAGCCCAAATGGAATTGAATCTGATGAGGGTTGTCAAAGACAACAAGAAGGGCTTGTACACAACTGACTGAAGGAAGATTAGGGAAGATGGACACCTGCTGCTGAATAGGGCAGGGGCCCTGGTGACACAGAACGTGGAAAGTGCTGGGATGTTGAATGCCTTCTTTGCCTCAGTCTTCACAAGACTAGCCTTCAGGAATCCCAGGCTCTGGAGACCAGGGAAGTCTGGAGCAGGGAAGATCTATTCCTGGTGGAAGAGGATCAGTCAGGGAACCCTTATGCAATCTGGACATCCCGCTGCTGGGATGCACCCAGAGTGCTGAGAGAGCTAGCTGATGGCATTGTGAGGCCACTCTTAACCTCTGAATTATCGTGGTTGATCGGGAGACCTGCCTGAAGACTGGAGGACAGCATTTTTCTGATCTTCAAAAAGGTCCTGAAGAAGGTAACAGAGCAACTAATTCTAGAAAGCATTTCCAGGCACAGTAAAGTCATCAGGAGTAGGTTCAGCAATGGGTAGTCATGTTGGCCAAGGTGATAATATTCTGTGGTGACATGGCCCTCTTGTTAGATGAGAGAAGAGCAGTGTATAGTGTCTGCCTTGACTTTAGGAAGGCTTTCAACACTGTCTCCATTAAAATACTCATAGAGAGGCTGATGAAACATGCACTGAATGAGTAGACAGTGAGATGGACTGAAATCTGGCTCAATGGCCAAGCCCAGAGTGTGGTGACTAGTGGCACACAGTCTTAGCTAGAGGCCAGACCTTTATTCATCACCATTTGTGAACACAATGGCAATGTGTACTGTGTCCCTACTGTAGACATCTGCTGCTGCTCCTCCTTTCAGATTAGAGTAGGTTTTGGAAGGAGTGAAATTGTCTGCTCAGTGCAGAACCTAGACTTTTAAACTGTATTGGGTCTGCTGCTATTCTGTGTAGAGTCAATTTTTGTGTTTGTGGCTTGCATTTGTCTTTTGAACAACAACATGTAATTTGCTAAAGATAATTGAATTAACTGAAAGTGACTGGGTTCAGGAGAGATTTAACCTCTTGTGAGCTGAGAGGCATGCTGAAAGCATTTTTACTGTCATTCACTTTGGTGTTATAAGTTCTAATCTTATTGTTCCACATCATTAGAAGTTTGTGCCAAAACTTATGGTTGATTCCTTAATCAACCATGAAAGTGATTCTGTCCTCATACCTTTTTAATAAAACTACACAGCTGTACTTTTCAATGACAGTGCAAGGGAATGGGATTTGTTAAATTTCAAAGCACAATTCAACGCAGAGTGTCAGGTAAAGGCAAGGCCCCACTTGGAAATCAAGTAAACAAATCCCTACTCTTCATCTTTCTTACTTTGAAGTAGTAGGTTTGTTGACTTTGCTAGATTGCTTTTAATTACTTTGAAATGTTAGCATATGTAGATTAAATTCACCAGCGTTGGAAATGTTTTAATATTGAATTTGGTCAACAAACAATATCTCAAAGGTCCTTTCATGGTCTTTTATTTTTTTTATTTTTATAAACCATAAACAGTTTTACAAATTTAAAATTCAATATGGTACTAATTTTCTCTTTCTGGTTAGGTAAAATGGCCAAGTTGGATATTACGTGCCTTATTTGTAGTAGAATTTTAATTTAATTTATGCTAAGTATAAAATAACCTACCTCCTTTTGAGGACACCAGCTGTTGCTGAAAATATTGACATTATGTATGCACCTGCAGTGAGATTTTTTTTCCAAAAAGATTATTGGTATTTTCTTTACAGTGAAGCTTACCAAGAGAAAAATTACTTAAATCTTTGGCTTTTAGAACTTGATGGTTTTACATTATAGATAATCTGCTACACCATCTGACACACAACGTTGTATTTAGACTTTTTTAGAAGAAACTTTTTGTTCTGTGGAACGTGCTGACGAAATTGGACACTGGCATTTACACTCTGTGAAGCAGAAGGAAAAATTTTAACTACCAGTTTGTGAACTGAGAGATGATTATATACCAGATACGTTTTAAAGGCACATTTATTTGGATCATCTTTGTGCAGCCCACCACCTTAATTAAGACCAAGTATTTTGCACTTGATAATATCTTTCCGTGTGGTTGAACCTTTGTTCTCATTTCAAACATTTTATCTTCAACAATAGTAATAGCACTCCAGAGAACAAATGTCCAGGTCCCTCTTTTAGCTCTTAGAGAGCTTCTGATAGGACAAGGGTGTCTGTGGTATTAATTTTTGAAATTATTAGAAGTAATTGAAAACTGTAATTACGTCAGACTGATTTTTTTATTACAGCCTTATTCATTGTGTATGTTGGGATAATGCATATCAGAGCACTTTTGGCTGTGACAATTAGATCAAAATAAATCCTTTATTAAGAGTTTCTTTTAGTATAATCCTCTTAGGAAATAGGATAGATCTGATCTTCACATTTAATTGTTAAATGATACTCCTAACTGACACTGTCCTCTTCCTCCTTCCTGCAGCGTGCACACATGCTCATGGGTATTTCTGGGACTAAAGACCATGTTACATGTACTGCACAAAGATTTAGCCAACTTATAAGTGAAACATCTTTGATTCGCTTTTCAGAATTAAATGCTATCACTACCAAAGCTAAGGAAGACTGAAAGTTCTTAATTTCATCCTTCCTTTGGCTCGCTCACTCTGTACTAGTAAGTTGTTATTGCTCGATTATCACTGGAGTGCAAACACTGAATCTTTATTGGGTTCACTTATCACAGTAGCTGCAATTTAAAGTGAAATTTAAGAACTAAATATTACCAAGTTAATCTTCATGCCCTGTTTGAAAACTAGTGCGGCCTTTGTCTGGTCATCTGGTCGCTCATTGTCTATTTAGTTTTTGAAAAGTTGCCATTTCCACAGAGTACTGAGTTGTACATAAAGCCTGGTTAGTCTAAATTAAGACTTAAGCTCTTTAGGTATTTTTTTATCATGGACTCTGTGTTTAATAGTGGCTTTTCATCTTATTCTTTAAATGCCTTATACAGTTTTCATGGTAATGTACTTTGAGTACAGTTGCTGTTGCTAAGAGTAAAGGGCAAATGGTTAAGAAGTTTAAAAATATTAGCCCTCCTTGAATGAATGATTATTTCAAAATAACAATACAATTTGATTCCTGCTCCAGCATATCAAAGGAAGAAGCTGTACCTACTACTTCTGAATAGAAGAGAATATTAAGTGAGGGAGGCATTTATGAAGATCTTTCTTTGCCTGCTTTATCTGATAAAATAGAAGAGTAAAAGCCAAACTAAATTTACTAATGGACACATGAAGTGAATCAGTTTGCAAAGCTCATGTGAAGATGCTTTTGACGTTCTGATAACCTTTGTAAATATGGTTGTAGGTTACAGAAAGATCTCTTCAAGCACTTGCTAGTTTTCATAGCCAAAGATGAGTGTTCTGCTAGTAGGTGGGAGTACAGTTTGGGTGTGCAAGTCAAGTAATTGTACTTTGAATATATTAAAAAGTTTTTAATTTGCTACACCCTTTTTGCTGTTGTCTTAAAGATACAATTCACTTAGTCACCTATGAAAATATCTAATTAAAATTAATTCATATGGATGTGCAGCACGGATTTTGTGGTATCTGTTTTTGCTAGAAAAGGTTTGGCAACTCTGGGGACTAGAAACGGGCTATTTCTTTGGCAGGAGCCCCCTGCTGAAGTAAAAGCAGCATGCTGAACAGAAGTAACTTACAGGCCTAATGAGGTCTCTGAAGGTCAACTTGGACTGTGCTGATCCAATGCACAACCAAACCTGATTCACATCTATGTGGAACTTCTAGGAAGTTCCAAGGAATATTTTTATTGTAAAGTTGGGGCAAGGTGTGTGGTAACAGACTTCAGAACGTGGTGGTGTGAAAACTACTTTTGATTAGCAGTTTTGCTGTTGACTGGGGGCTAGGAAGGAGGAAAAACCCATGGAAACTTTTCCTTCGTTTAAAAATATCTGTTTTTCACCAGTGCAGACTTACTGGGACTTAAGTCAAATAATTCTGTATTGCTTTATTAATTAACCTTCATAATCTGTGTGCTTGTTTTTCAGCAAACCTGATATGTCTCGGTTGAGGTTGGCTGCAGGGAGTGCTATTGTGAAGTTGGCACAAGAACCTTGTTACCATGAAATCATCACCTTAGAACAGTACCAGCTGTGTGCACTAGCCATAAATGTAAGGAAACTGGGTGTGATGTGAGGGTTATCAAATATATATGTATATATGTTGTTTGTTGTGTATATTTCTGCTGATTTGATTTTATGCAAAACCCTCAGATTTGGCACGAGTGTATTTTTGTCCTATGTAATCCTGGAAATCTAGTTTGGGTAAGAATTAAGTATTTTGGACATTGGTGACAACAGAGAACTTTGCTTCTTGATACTTGGGTAGAATGCATTTGGAATGTGGAGGCCTGCAAAGGTAGTTGGCATCCTTTAAATAGCAGAAGAGGCAGGAGAGATTTTTCACTAGATATAGGGAGTTTTCATCCTGAACTTCTGCCTGTGAGCCCAAAGTAGCAGAAGGGAATTAACTTTTAAATTGTAAGTAGAGATGTAGAGATCCTCTGTGTTCCTGTCTTGTAAACTTTACAAATTCTGCAGAAATTGATTGGCCTTCTTATTTGTTTAACAAACTTTAGATTTTAAGCTATTTCAGGACAGGAATTCTGCTTTTACTTTTCCTTGAGACATCTAATGGATTATGAATACTTATTTATAAATTTTTTAGATCTTCTTGATGTTTCCTGCAATTTTCTTTATTTCTGCCAGACTGTCAAGTTCAGATCCTCAGATACAGAGTAACTGTATTGGTTTCAGTGAGTTTTGCGTTTCTAGGTTGTACTGTATTAATTTCTCGCAGAGACTATCTGTGTATTTGTGTTTCAGAGGTTTGCATATGTACCTATGCATACATATGTGTTTATGCTTAGTAGTAAAATCCGTTTACTGATGGTAGACTCTTAAGATTTTAGAATAACAGATAATATTCCTTCTTGACACAATCAAGTCTAGCCACAGATTAGGACACTCAGATGACATCACAGCCAACTCCGGTATTCCATAACTTAATTTACAGCAAGTTTTCTTTAAATGAACATACAAGAAAGCAGATTAAATAAAAGTAAAGGCAAAATTTTAAGAGTCATAATGACTGCACAGGTTCTACTGTGGTGCTGTGCAGGGTATTGCTTTTTTTTTTTTTTCTGAGGGAATGTCATTCTCTATGTGGAATGATTGAAGTATAGAATACATGATTAAATGTTGTTGCTCCTTGCTATAGTAAGGTTCTGGTGGTAAACAGAGACTTTATGATGATTAAATGCGTGTAGTTTCAGTCATTTTAAAATAAATTATGTATGCCTTTGGCCAGACCTGTAACCTCACCAGCAGTTAAGTTTTGATTTGCAGAACAAATTTATATGTCAGCAAAGCTTCATATTGAAATAGAATAGAAAGTAATTGAGCATGGTGCTGAGTACTTCAGTATTTAACAGACCTTAAGATCCTGTTTAAGATTTAATAAGATTTGCTGTTGAAAATGCCATTCTAATTATATTCAGAATAACACTTTTAGATTGCTTAAGTTGCGTTAAAAAAAAAACTTGCTCGGTTGCCTTCAGCAACTGTTTGAGGGTGTTTTAGTTGTTCCAGCAAGTCTGTCAATTTTCAAGAATCAGGGTCATGTCTGAGGGGTAACATACAGCTTTGTAAATATGTATTTTTAAAAGTTAGATGGTATCCTTCTGATAAATTGTGATTAAGTTTGGAAAGTAGATAGGTAAGGCTTACATATGGTTTGTAGTTGTAGACTGTAAGAAATGTAGAAATTACTGTGTTTGGTCCTTTTTCCTACTAGTGTACTGAGGTGGTTTAAAGGTTATTTTTTATGTTAGGAGATAAATAAATAAAACTCGTACCAATTTATGTCTTGCAGTCAGGTCAGTAGCAATGAACTATGCGTTCCTTTGGCCTCTGAATCAGGGAGGACGTCTTTGTCAGCTTACCAACTATGCACACCTCTGTTCTAAGCTTTCCAAAGACATTAGGTAATGTTAACAAGCAGAAGAGGGCTCTACGTTACTCTTTTGCTGGGGGTGGATTTGCTGTGAAGGCAGGTTTTATACCCAGGCAGTAGATCACGAGTGTATCTTACAGATAAGGTTTGTAGTCTTGGGTCACTGCAGCTGCATTGGTCAGCTCTGGCTACAGAAGGCATTTCAGGGTTTCATAATGGGTGGAGGAAGACTATGGCTTCAAGCCCAGAGGAAAATGGGGCTTGATGAATTTCTCCTGGATTTCATTTTTGGTTAGGGTGATAATGGAAGCTTTTTTTTTTTTTCTGTTGAAATCACACTTTTCAATCCCATTTGCAAATTTGGCAGATTGAGTGTTACCAATGGCTAGGTTTTGTCCCTACTCTTCCTGTTGGCTGATAGCTGGAAACCTGAATTGTTTCTGGTTTCAAAACTGTCATTTAACTAAAATAGGTATTATTCCTATTAATGCTCTTTTTTCATATTTAGAGATAACAAATCTTTCCTCTTGACCTTATTTTGGCAGGATACATAAGTCAAGCTGCTTAGGGAGTCTTGTTTACAGCACGCTTTTCTCTACATTTCCCAGTAACTGTTTTCCACACCTGCTTCTGTTAACCTTTCTTGGCTTTGAATGGTGTCTTAAAATATGTAGGTTATTTTTATATAGAGAATTTTAAAGTTCATAACTTTTCTGGAAATATGTTGCCTAATAGATCATAGGAGTACATTTGCCCCCCCTTTGTACTTTGTGTTCTTTGACAATTCTTAGTTACAGGTTATTCTTTTCCATGGTCAGTTGTGGTTCATAGGCTTCTACATTATAGTGGAAATGCTTGGTAATCTCTTAAGCATGTGACCTTTAATTTTGTTGAATTTTATTCTGTTTCTAATGTTACTGTCTTGATGGAAAATTTGTGAAATTGCAGTAATAAAATCAACACGATTACTGGCAACTGAACAGTGTTTCAGTGCAGATGTTCACCTTTGGCCCCACAAACCAAGTGGTCCCATTGTAAGCAATTTCATTAACTCAGTGCCACAGTACTGTGCCAAATTAATCCTTAGATTCTGAGTGCCATATCTTTCTCTACAGCTTGAGCCTTAATTTTTCTTCTCACCTTCAGAGAAGCTTCAGTTGATTAATTCAATTTAAGTGTTCTGAATTGGTATAAAGAAACATTCCTACAGTTCCTACATTTCTGTGGTGGCATGGTCTGAACTTGATTTTGGCATATTTACCCAGTCTTCTGTTTTATTTCACAGCCTGTGTTACTTTTAGAAAGGTTTACTGTTTACTTTTTTGTTTTGTTTTTAATAGGATGAATGTTACCAAGTGAGACAAATATTTGCTCAGAAACTTCACAAAGGGCTTTCTAGACTACGGCTGCCACTAGAATATATGGCTATTTGTGCACTGTGTGCAAAAGATCCAGTGAAAGAGAGAAGAGCTCATGCTAGGCAGTGCCTTGTGAAGAACATAAATGTCAGAAGGGAGTATCTGAAGCAACATGCAGCAGTTAGTGGTAAGAGAATAGAAGTCACTTTTTGGTACAAGTGCTAGAGTTCACAGGTAAATGTTAATAGACTGTGAAAATATTATTTGTCTTCTGTTTGTTTTTTTTTTGTTGTTGTTTTTTTGTTGTTTTTTTTTTGTTTACACAGAGTGGCTGTAAACCTTTGGTAAGTTTCACTCAGGTATCAAAACTGAAAACAGAGTCCAGATTTTCTCTAGAGTTTTTAATAGGCTTGTCTGAGATCTTTCAATTTCTTTAAAAGCTGTGTAAATGCTTATGCCTGTATTAGAAGTGACTATATTAGAAGTGAAGCAGATTTTCAAAGGCAGATGTGTACTGTTTGAACTTAATGGTTAATTATGTTGTAAGTGAAGTGGCAATGATTAATTTTTGGTAATTAATAATATGCAACCTTAATGACATTATAAATGCTGCACTGAATCGATGCTCTTTGAGCTGCTGTACTGAGTAGCTTCTTATCTTGTCTTATGCTGGCAAAGGGCTGTATTTGTAGGTACTTCAGGATGAGTTTTTATAATTCTTTTCTTCCTAGTGACAACAGTCTGATCATAGGAATGCTTTTTAAGTTATTATGAACTGATGTGAGCTATTTTTCTTTTATAAAATCAGTCCTTGTCCCTTTTGACTTACTTGAAACTGCACACATACAATATGATAACACTGGTATATCAACATGTGATAACGGAGACTTTTATGAAGAGCTCAGGGCATTTTGAGTAAGAGTTTCTGAAAGTTTTATTTCTTTGGGGGATTACTGATGGTTCTTATCTTTGACATTTTTGAAATGATGTGGATTTTTTTCATCTTGTCTTAGGGTAGACCAAACCTGGTTTGTGAATCTGATCTCACATATGCTGTCAGATAACGGATTTCATTCTAGATTTATGAATCACAGACTTTGTATTAGCCATGTCAGTCTGTGTGTGCCTCAGTCCCCTTAGACTTAGATCAGAGAATAAGTCTGCAGAGAAATCCTTTTGTGTATTGTTAATTAGACTTCCAAAAAAAAAAAAAAAAAAGAAAGAAAAAGCCAATACGTTTTCTCTCTGCTCAATAACAGGTAAAAAAGAAAAATCCATTCAGCAAAAGCCTTTAAATCATCCTAAGACTATTCCTCTTGAAAGCTGAAAAATCTTTTCAGTTACGTAGGAGGAAAATACAATAATTTTAATACAATGAAACATAATTGCTGATTTCTTAATTGTACTAAGATAGATACTGTGAGGTTACTATGAAAAAGTCTGTAGGAAAAATGAAGCAGAGCCTTGGCGTGAGTGGCTTTTAATTTAGTAGGACCTCGAAGTGTGCCTGACAGTTTCTTTTTCTTGCTGAAAAAGTTATCTTTAGTGATTCCATTGAATGGATTTCTACTGTTATCCATGAGGACTTTTAATTAGATATAGATTGCAGGAAGTTTTTTAGGGTTACAGTGTTAACTTTGTAACATATAGATTTACCAGTCTGTGCTTTTAACAAATAAATAGTCTTGAACTGTTTATATCTTGCAAAATCATTACTGCAGTGTAGTACAGCTGAAGCCCAGGTAAGATAGTGTTGTGCGTGTGTGTGTTGCTCTTACTGTAATGACACTAACACCTGCTTTTCAAGTACCTACAAAAAGCAAAGTATGAGAATCTTCTTTGATCAATGAAATTATTTCGGGGAATCTACAAACTGATGGTTTTGTGATATGCTTTTTCCTGAAAACTCAAAGGTGATGAGGATATTACTGGACTTCAACATTTGTTGAAAAGATGGTAAATTTCTGTATACCTTGCCTAAGGAAAATTTCCTAAGGACTGGTACCAGGCAGTAAAATGTCTCTTTCCTCCCTGCTGACAGGATGTCAGAAATTACACTGAGACCTCTAAGTTCTCTAAATGCTCTTCAGAGTGAGGGCTGCTCAAGAAGAGGCTTATTTTATTTAGTATCTACTACCAGTTCTGCCTGTGTAGGGACTTGCCTAGGAATATTTGGTTTCTACTGTTGGGCTTTTACTTGCCAGTTAGTAAGTAGGAAAGTTACAAGAGTAAAACTTTATTATTTTTTTTAATAAGTCTCTTTTCCTAACTGCTCATAGATGTCTGTTGTGGATTTTGGCATGTTCTAGTTGCAAGAGCTTGTACTGTATGTCCATGATGCCATCCTGCCTTTCAGGTAGTGTCTTTCTTCATTAGAGATGAAGGAAGATTGTGTAATTACTATTTTTGTCAGGGTTTAAATACAATGTGTGTTAATACTTATTCATTTTCTCTTTTAAATATATTTGGTTCACTTTGTTTCCTGGACCCTGTTGAAACTATTGCTGTAGTTGTCTTAGAAAGTATACAAGGCAGGAGGTTGTTGAGGCTGGGTTCTTGGGCTCTTGATGAGACTTTTATTGAAGTTCAAAATTAACATAAATAATAGCAAAATGATTTGCCTGGAATATGTCTTAAGGCAAGCCAGTTTTGCTAGTGTTTTGAAATCATGATTATGTGTTATTTTCTTCTCCTCCACTTCTTTATTTTTCTTATTTAGCTGCACAAAGCTGATGGATGAAATGCAGGACAGTGCGTGAAGAAGTGAAGGATGTTTTTTGAAGTTAATAGTTGAACGTCAGTTGGAACACATTAAAATTTTCTTTGAAAAGTACACTGGATTTCAATTACATAAACATAACCACCCAATTTCTGTGTATTTCAAGTTTTATTTTTCCTCATACATCTTGATGGCTTACATTCTGTGTAGTAATTACTCTTGTAATTTAACTGGATCAACTGCATTGGCTGTGTAAAGGTGTATCCTTGGAACTTCGCAACACTATCTTCTGTGGGTCTTTGTAAATTTTGAATTCTTTCTTTGCTGTTATGACTGAATCCAAGTATTTTATGAAAGCTGTGAAGCAACCCTCATTATGCAGACCTTTGTAAATGGGAGAGAGTAAGAGTTTTTCTCGGCAATTATTTATTCAGTCTTGTGAAATCTACAATAATGATGTATTCTAATTTATGTGCACAGCAGTTTCCAAACACATCTCATGAAAACATATAATAGAGATAAAAAAAAGTCAGTGTTTTAATGTATTTCAAATAGAATTGTATACATCTATAATGATTTACAGAAGTCTGGTCGTCTTATTCACAACCTAATACAGGATAGTTAAAAGCTTACTGAAGGAAGGCTTTCCAAACTTTCCATGTCTTTCATGACCACTCACTTGCTCAAAAGTGTGGTTGGATATTTTCAAAAGCAGAGCCAGGAATTTCTTCCCTCACTTCCTATGCGCAGTGAAGCATTTATTAATAGGCATGTTTATACTGTGAATTTGCACTTGTCACTGGTACTCAAGATCAGATGCTTCTACTACAGTAATACAAAACACTAGCATGTCTTGCCTATTGCCCTGCCTGTTGCACAGGACCCAGGTTTAGCAACTTAGGTGTATTGTATATCCTCCAGTTCCTATCAGTTATTAGGCTGGAGAAGGTAGTGTAGGTCTTTTTTCATCTGTCTTTATGTTGTCATTGTCCTGTGCGATATAACCTTTTCATTCTGGTTTTCTACATCAAACTTGAGGCACGGAAATTCACTCTTCATTGTGTTAGTTACGAATTTGTTACCTTATGGAACATGCATTTTCTGACTGTTCTGATGTAGAACACTTTTTTTCTGTTGTCCTTGCTTAGGATTATCTACCAGTCTCACAGGATGCTAGAAAAAGTTTTGAATGCTTTGAATGTCATAGTGGGATTGAGACTTTCTGACTCAGTCCACAACTACTTTATTGTGGTAGCTGCTAGGTTACCTCCTGTCTCATCTCTGAACAGGTGAGGTAGGCTGTAGGTTTGGAAAACATTGTGGCTATTTGACTGCAAATCTTTATTTTCACTTGTTTTTTGGAAAAAGTGCACTTCTTTCTATTTTCTTGACAGCAAGATGCTACACTGCAGTGTCCAAAGAAGGAATAATAGCTTACTCTGCAATTGTGCTGGTCTCAGATGTAGCAGTTAACATGGATTTTGTGATCAATCTTCTGTTTTTCTGAATACAGGATTTGAACCAAGGGGGGTAGAAGGAACTCTAGCTGTGTTCAAGATAGTTAAAAAAATATCCAGCCCTGAGACGTATTTAAAATCTCAGTTTTTACATGCACAAAGCATCTACACATCAACAATCAGATAAATATTAACAGCAACGTTATGAAGAAATGATAGGCCCACATGTACCTACGTTTTATCTTAATGTATGCTGACCTTAAATTTTGATCTTTTCTTTTGTAGTAGAAAATATTCAAGTAGTAGGAAAATGTATTTCTTGATACAGTCTTTTGATGCATCTTTCTTTTGCTTTTCAGAGAAACTCTTGTCACTTCTGCCAGAGTATGTTGTTCCTTATACTATACATCTTCTAGCTCATGACCCAGATTATGTCAAAGTTCAAGACATTGAACAACTCAAGGACATTAAAGAGTAAGACTACTTTTAATATTGTTATTTGAGAGGATTATAATAATTTAATTTTTAATTTTAGTAAAATTTTAATTTAAAGAGGTACACTGATACATTGTCCAGTATATGTAACAATGGCAGTTATTTCTGTAGAATATTGTTAGAAATGGAATATATGCTTTTTTAATGTTCTGCAATATTTTACAGAAGAACCTACGCTTTCTGCTCATCTTAACCTTCATTTCTTTCTTCCAATGAATTTATTTGCTGGAGTTGAAATTGCTTAAATCTGTAATACTAGTAAAACTATAGTAAGCAACTTTCTGAAATGTGATTTTTTTTTTTTTTATTTTTATTTTTAAGGGTGGGAATTTTTTTTGGCATATTCATTAGAAGTACTCCCTTTCTTCTTAGGTGTTTGTGGTTCATACTGGAAATATTGATGGCTAAAAATGAAAACAACAGTCACGCATTTATCAGAAAAATGGTAGAAAATATCAAACAGACAAAGGATGCTCAAGGACCAGATGATGCAAAAATGAATGAAGTAGGTGACACTTTATGATTGGAAACTGTATTTAGTTTTCGCCTGGTTCTGGAAATGAGTTGCTTTGTTTCTGTCTCAGTAACATTATTAAACACTACTTTTAGACAGAAGTAAACTAATATTTTCACTCTTTAAATCATCCAGACTTTCTGCTTTATAATATTTCATTTGAAAAGTACAACAGAATAAGCTTAGTGTAGGAAGAAAAATACATGTATGAGATGTCTCCAGTTTGTACTGCGTAGTGAATGTATCAAGCCCCAGTCTTGTTTTTGAAGTTTTTGCATCACATAATACACAAATTTGTTACTTCTCTGCTTTTCCCAAATAGATTTTTTTTTTAGATATGTCTTTGAACCATGGCATACATTATTTGTAAGTGTAGAAAGATCATGGAAGATAGCTTTCTTTAACTGCTGAGTGTGCAGTGCTTTTGTCTTCTGTTCCTACATTGTAGTACCTGGCGATACACTGCTTAATATGGATGCTACTGTTAAATGCTTAAGATACTTGTTTTCAACTCTGAGCCCTTGTAGTTCTCTGCTTGGGTTTACCCGCAGCTCTGTGGAGAAGGAGTTGGAAAGTCCTAGTGGAGAGCAGGGTAACCATGAGCCAGCAATGTGCCCTTGTGGCCAAGAAGGCCATGGGATCCTGAGGTGCATTGGAAGAGTGTTGCCAGCAGGTCAAGGGAGGTGATCCTCCCCCTCTGCTCAGCCCTGATGAGGCCTTACCTGGAGAACTGTGTCCAGTTCTGGGCTCCCCAGTACAAGAGGGACGTGGAGCTACTGAAGCAAGTTGAGCGGAGGGCTATGAAGATGATGGAGCATCTGTCATGTGAGGAGAGGCTGAGAGAGCTGGGCCTGTTTAGCTTCAGAAGAGGGGACTGAGAGAGGATCTTATCAATGTGTATAAATACACATTGGGAGGGTGTCAAGAGGATGGGGCCAGAATCTTTTTAGCGATGCCCAGCAACAGGATAAGAGACATGGAGCACAAATTGAAACATGGAAGCTCCAACTGAATATGAGAAAACACTTTGTTACTGTGAGGGTGACAGAGCACTAGAACAGGTCACCCAGGGATGCTGTGGAGTCGCCTTCTCTGGAGACACTCAAAACCCACCTGGATGCCATTCTGTGCAATGTGTTAGGTGACCCGGCAGCGGGGATTGGGCTATATGATCTTCAGAGGAACCTTCCAGCCTCAACCATTCTGTGATTTAGTGAAGATTTGCAATGAACTTCCGATTATTATTATTTTTTTTTACAGAAACTCTACACAGTCTGTGATGTAGCAATGAATATCATTATGTCAAAGAGTACAACATACAGTTTGGAATCCCCTAAAGACCCTGTACTTCCAGCACGATATTTTACTCAACCTGACAAGGTATACCTTGGAGTTTAATTTGTCTTGAGATAAATCTATTTACGTCTTTGTTAGTTGTAACTTGAGAGCTCTGTAGATCTTGGCAACTTCAGACTTCTCCCTATCTTAATTTAGTTGAAGATACGTGTATGTATGTTTTCGTAAGTTTTTATATGTACATACATACACTGCTTTCTTTTTTCTTTTTTTTTTTTTAAGATGATGTTCAAGTTAAAATTTCAGAAGTATAAAAGATGTAAAGAAAATCTCTTTTAGTACTACCTCCGAAATGTATATATCTTATTCATTGACTTTGTTGTTGTTGCTTTTTCCCTTCTTTACAGAATTTCAGTAACACCAAAAATTATCTTCCTCCAGAAATGAAGTCATTTTTCACTCCTGGGAAGGTCTGTACATATATATGTACATATGTGTCTGTGTATATATATTATTATTAATAATAATAATTAAAAAAAAAGAATAACTGACCTGTACAGTTTAAAAAAAAACAAAACAAACAAACAAAAAACCTTCAAGTTGAGGTTAAATATTTTTTTTTCTTCCTGAATGTTTTATAAACCAAAAATAAACAAGAGAATGAGACAGATAGAAGGAAGACTGCAACTGTGTATGCAGTGGTGGTGGTAGTAGATAAAGCCTGAAGTCTTTTAAAACCAGAGAGAGACAAAAAAATGTCCAGTGTGAGTTTGAATGCCCCTGTGTATTCGAGTTCTTTCTGTATTCGCTTTTTGATTAATGTTAAACTGTGAACTTAGAGATGTAAATTCTTAAACTGCATTTGGTTCTCCAAGGTTTCTTATTTTTTGAGAGGATATGCTGTTTTTTTCATACTTAGAGCAGAGTGAATCTCTTATAGCCGGACTTAATTTTATACTTTAATGAAAATAAAATCAGCACATCAGCGTTGTGTGTCTCTGAAAAAGGACCATTCAAAACTGCTATGATGTGCATGTCGAACAGCATGGGTTTTGGTGGTTTTGTTTGTTTATATTTGTGCTGTCACCAATTTGAGACATAGCTAGAATCTAATACCTAAATAGAAAATGGATCATCCCAGATATTGTGAAATCTGGGGAATGGTCTTAAATCATTCAACATTTTTGTATGCTGGTGTTTGGCATATAAAGGAGCATTGTCTTTAGGAGTAACTGAATCTTTTCAACTGTCTCAAAAGTTAGTATAAGCTAGAGGTATTTAGCATATCTGAAAGATAATCCACTTAAATAAATAACCTGAAGCTCATCACTGTCTGGAAATTTTGGCTCCTATTAAAAGCCTAATCATTTTCAAATCTGTGCATGAAACCTCAGTCTTCTCCAGAATATTTGCTTCTGAGCCTCTCATTTGTTTCCAGTTGAAGCTAGCGTAGTTTGCCATTACAGCTAAGCCAGTTTAATGGCTTGATGCTGAAATTGCTGTGTCCTACTGCTGTTTCTATTTTGCCAGTTCAGGTGCTTATCTAATCCAAATGGCAAGCTGGTTCAGGCAGCTACATCACCTGAAAGCAAACTGTACAAAAGGTGCTGAAATGGCTTACTGCAAGGTCAGGTGAGCACCCAATAAGAAGAGGACGGAGTTATAAGGGTTGAGAAAGTAATATTGGTTTTGGTGGCAGCTGGCTATTTGATTGCAGCTCCGTCTGTTTCCTTCTCTTGTCATAACTTTCAAATTTAAATGTTTATTGCATCATATCATAATTAAGATACCATTCACAGAAAGTGAAATGTGTGAATAAGCATAGTACATGTTAACAATATCTAAATGTGTAGCTTAAAATAAAGGAAATATATTTTTGGTTTCAGCCCAAAGCAGCCAATGTTCTTGGAGCAGTTAACAAGCCTCTTTCGTCAGCAGGCAAGCAGTCTCAGTCCAAATCTTCACGAATGGAAACTGTAAGCAATGCCAGCAGCAGTTCAAATCCAAGCTCTCCAGGAAGGATCAAAGGGAGGTTGGTAGTCAACAAAGGGGCTTTGATATTTCAAGTATTTGTAATGGAAACTTTGAATATTTCTATAATGTTTTCTAAGTGGGAAACAGAATTATATTCTCTTATTTTGAAGTAAAGTTATAGTAGCACATTGTATAATGAAAACCATGAATTTGGCTTTCCAATCCCAGAAATAAAGTTGCTGTTAGAGAGAAGAGGAGGAAAAATGTTCAAGCACAATCACAGAAATAGAATCAAATCACATCCAGAGATGGTTGAAGGAGGGAAGGAGAGCCTCATACTTTTTTTTTTTTTTTCATATATATCGCTTTTCTTTTTTGATACATATATATACACATCTGCATATCCTAGGAACTTTGTAGCCTGCTGTAATGTTAATATGTCATAGACAGTGAGGACTGGTAGGCCAGTGTGGTGATTTAGCGTAACTTCTTCCTCTATAAACTTGTCCTACACTTCGCTGGAATTAGCAGATAAACATTTCTGGATTTTAGATTCTGCGATGTAAGGGCTGAAGATGCTGCAGTGTTAGAGAAGTTGTCTTCTAGTTAGCTATCTGTAAAATTTATATTTTATTTTGCATCAGTTTTGTAAGTTATTAATCAGTCTCTGTGTCTTATGTTTGTTTGTTAAACCATTAACAATTGTATAGTCCCCACTATTCATCTTTACTCACGTTGTTTCAAGACTGAGAGAAAGTTATGTTTGAATCTAAGACTAAAATCACTTGATTCTTCTGTGGCTATTTAATATGTAATGTTAGCATGAATGTAGTGCAGTGCTTTACAACAAGTACTTACAACTCAATGAAAAATCACACAAAGACTTATTTCTTACAAGTCACGCAAGTTCATATGCAGAAATAGATTACTGCCTAAAGACAGATTAGAATCCAGCTTCTTCATATCCTGTGAAATTAATCTGAGACTCATGCTGTTCTTCATCCAGTTTATTTAAAAAATGCTGCACTTGCAGCCTAACCTATTCTGTCATCTTCATGGTCTCCCCAGCTCACCTAAGTTAAACTGATTGGTTGGGTTTCTCACATCTCTCAAGTACCTGAAACTGTAGACGGGGGCTTGGGGAGCAGAGTCCCTCCCACTGTAAGTAAAGAGCAAGATCAGGACCTCCTGATACAACTTAATAACTACAGGTCTATGGGCCCTGATGACATGCATCCCAGGGTCTTGAGGGGATTGGCTGATGCAGTCACCAAGCCATTCTTCATCATATTTGAAAAATCATGGCAGTCAGGCGAAGTCCCCGGTGACTGGAAGAAAAGAATCATCACTCCCATTTTTGAAAAGGGTAGAAAGGAGGACCTGGGGAACTACAGACCAGTGAGCCTCACCTCTGTGCCTAGCAAAATCATGAAATGGGTTCTCCTGGATGCAGTGTTAAGGCACATGCAGGACAAGGAGGTGGTCTGAGACAACAAGCATGGCTTCACTAAGGGCAAATTGTGCTTGACCAATCTGGTGGCCTTCTATGGTGGAGTGACTGCATCAGTTGACAAGGGAAGACCGACCAGTGTTATCTACTTGGACTTCTGCAAGGCTTTTGACAAGGTCCCACATGACATCCTAATCTTTAAATTGGAAAGATGCAGATTTGAAGGGTGGACCTTTTGATGGATAAGGAATTGGGTTGAAGGCTGCACCCAGAGAGGAGTGGGCAATGGTTCTATGTCCAGCTGGGGGCCAGTGACAAGCAGTGTCCTTCAGGGGTCTGTCTTGGGGACCAGTGCTTTTCAATGTCTTCATCACAGAATCACAGAATTGTAGGGGTTGTAATGGACCTCAAGAGATCATTGGGTCCAACCCCCAAAATGACATAGACGACAGGATTGAGTGCACCCTCAGCAAGTTTGCAGATGACACCAAGCTGAGTGGTGCAGTTGATAACAAAGAAGGGAAAGATGCTGTTCAACAGCACCTGGACAGGCTGGAGAAGTGGGCCCATGTGAACTGGGTGAGGTTCAACAAGTCCAAGTGCAAGGTTCTGCACCTGGGTCGGAACAATCCTGGACACAAGCACAGACTGGGAGAAGAACTCATTGGGAGCAGCCCTGTGGAGAGAGACTTTGGAGTTCTGGTGGATGAAAGGCTTGACATGAGCCAGAAGTTTGTGCTTGCAGCCCCAAAAGCCAACTATGTCCTGGGCTGCATCAACAGAGGCATGACCAGCAGCTGGTGGAGGGAGGGGATTGTGCCCCTCTGCTCTGCCCTTGTGAGGCCCCACCTGGAGTGCTGCGTCCAGGGCTGGGGCCCCCAGCACCAGAAGGATGTGGGGCTGTTAGAGCGGGCCCAGAGGAGGGCCACAAAGATAATCAGAGAGCTGGAGCACCTCTCCCATGGAGAAAGGCTGAGAGAGCTGGGGATGTTCAGCATAAACAACAGAAGGTTCTGAGGAGACCTCATTGTGGCTTTTCAGTACTTAGAGGCGTCTTATAAAAAGGATGGAGAGGGACTCTTTACTCGAGTAATGATAGGACAATGGGGAATGGTCTTAAACGAAAAGAGGATAGATTTAGACTAGACTTTAGGAGGAAATTCTTTGGTGTAAGGGTAGTGAAGCAGTGGCACAGGTTATCCAGAGAGGTTGTGGATGCCCCATCCCTGGAGGTGTTCAAGGCCAGGCTGGATGGGGACTTGGCCAACCTGATCTAGTGGGTGGCATCCTACTAGGCTGGTTGGAACTAGGTGATCTTTAAGGTCCCTTCCATCCCAAGCCATTCTATGATTCAGTATGCATGGTATTTCCTATTTAATATGACTGAATGCATACACACAAGCTTACATCTGTTAAGGTGATGTATAAAAACTGCCAGAAGTTATTGCAATTTTTTTTACTTGTAGGTGTAAGAATGTCTTTCTCTGTCCAGGAAGTGCCCAGGACAGGGAGTTAAGACCTCGTGTATCTGAATACCACTTGTCTTTTTAATGCATAACGTATTTATTTTCCATAAAAATATCTGCACTCTTAAAAGCAACTCTTTTTTTTCCCTTATTCCAGCCTCAGGGCAGATAAAAAAAAAAAAAAAAGAAATTTATCTTGTGTATTGGCTTTTGTATGTTACCTTTTATATGTGGGTCTCAGTGTTTCATATATGCAGGAAGTACCATTGTCCACGTTTACATATGTAGAAACTGAAATAGAAGTATAATTGCTTAATATATGCTGCCATAAATAACAAAAGAAAGCTGAGGGATGAAGTCTCTGAAATTTAAATTTGCTGTTCTGTTGCCTGGACCTCACCATAACAAAGTGTTCGCGTTTTAGTTGGTCTCTGGGGATCTTTGATTGGTATATGAATTTTATGTAAATGTATACAAATACACAGATCTCTTGTATCTCCATGAGGTTTTTCTGTATCAAAAAGCTCAGCTTTCTTTTTTTTTTTTTTAAACTGAGAAAGATGATTGATTTGGCTTACGGTTGACATCTTCGTCCTGAGACTTAGGTGCTCTATTTTGTGATATGTGATAACTGTAGTACCCAGAGTAAAAGGTTCTTTCTGCAAGATTTAATTCAGGAATAGATTTATTCTGAAGGTTATTCTTGATTTATTTATTTATTTATTTAATAATTGCCTGCTATACTATAATGATGAAGAGAACAAATGTTTTTTGATTCTAGGCTTGACAGTACTGAAATGGACCACAGTGAAAATGAAGAATTCACACTGACTTCACCGTTACCAGGGAAGAAAACTGACAAAAGGGACGACTCTGATCTTGTAAGGGTGAGCTGTTTGGTTGCGTTACAGATGTTTAATTTTAAATCACCAGGACTTTAACAATTAATGTGCTAGTATTTTGTATGATTCAAGAAAACATGTTCTTCTAATCCAGATATTTTACATGAAACTGAGGTAATTTTGTGAACTACTGGAAAGCGTGCTTAGAGTTAGAGGTGAAAATGTAATGAAGAAAAGATTTCCAATTTGTCTGTTTTGCATGTGTACCATACATTACCTTTGCATCATATTGACCATTTCTGTAAGCTTTCAAGATTGCCAATTACAATTTATAGACAGGAACAGATAGAGTTAGGTTGATGACAGTTAGTCCATGATTTGCCTCATGTTCAGGATTCATTGATGAAGTATCTGAGACATTGTTCAAGGTGATAGCTTGCTTGGGCTTCTGTTCCCCAGTATACTGTAGGTTTTTTGTGTGTGGTTGATGGTTAAAATGTAGCTGTGGAAGAATTAATTGGATTAACTTGAGAGTGATCAACTATAATTCTGGGGGAACACATTAACCTGTCTTAGATTTCAGATTGCCTTCTGAGGTTGTAAAATTCTGTTTCATATATGGTTTCTTTGCTTGATGCTAGCAAAGTGATAATACCTCAGTTGCAGCATTGATATATTACAATTCTCACCTTTTTTGGTATTGCCCCATCACTGATGTTAAGGCATGTTCTCCTTTTCTAGCCAGCTGTGTTTTTCTTTCAACAGCTATAAGGAATAGCAACTGCCAGTTCTCTGGTTACCCTGAAAAGCAAGAGGGCATCGTGATTTGACACTGGATTTAGAAATTCGGAGAAGAGTTTTCTGAATAGCCATATGGATTCTGTTTTCTTGTGTATGACTTGTACTTGAAGGCAGGAAAAATGCTTGGTTCTGAGTGGCAGATATCACAAGTAGAAGTTGTAGCATGGTTTTATTGTCTGATTTGTCATAGGCTTTAGGTGAGAGTAAGCCAGCTAACTGATAGTTATAGGCCTAATGCATTTACTGAAATTATAGACAGGCTAAACATTTAGTCTCAAGCAATATTTACATGTGTTATAGCAGAATACAGAAGAAAAACACCAAAGAAAAGTCATAATTCGAAGAACTGTTCAAATAAAAAGACTTTCATATGCCACTAGTAAACTTCATTTTTTGTTCCTCGTTAATTTTTGGCAGTCTGTAGTAATTGTAGTGATTTGGGATATGCATGAAAAACAATACAAACAATATCATATTTATTACAACTGTATTTTCTAAAATCTATTAAGGATGTGCTATGTCTGATGTCACTGCTAGTTTCATGTTGTTTTTTTGTTTTGTTTTGTTTTGTTTTTGACTGCCTGATATTTCTCTATTTTCCTGTTATGTCAGTCTGTTGTTTTTCTGGGTTGCTTGGAACATAGAAGGCTACTACCTAGTAAAAATATCCTGATTTTTTGCTTGTCTTGAAGTGCAGGTAACCAATTAAGCTGTAGTATCTTGTAGGAAACTGGCATGTAATGAAACCAGAAAAATAATGAATCTTTTGTCAATTAAAAAAAAAGCCCTATCCTTAAGCACAATATCTCACAATATAACCTTGGAATTTGCTTTCTTACACTTTGCTTTCCTTTCAACTTCAAATTTTTCAGACCAATCTTGCCATCTAAATACATGTATTCTTTATAATAAACTTTAAATGATAAAATAGCAACTACTATGTATAAGTTTTTAGTGAATTTATTTTGATTACAAAACTATTTTAGTAATTTAATTCAGTTTTTCCCTAATCTGAGCAAGGCAATTGTTGAAAGCTCTCATTTTTTTGTTACAGATCAACAACTTTGTTTAAAAAAGAAAAAAAAAAATAGTTTCTGTTTTGATATGTTGCGTCAGCTGAAAATCTGAAAGGTCTGAGAGTCCAAACGGCTGCTGACATGCAGTAGGTTAGAAGATAAAGGGTGAATTCATAACTGGCAGAACTTAAGTGGTAAAGCAAATATAGTGCAGTATTTCACACTTCTGAGGGTATTTGCATCTCATTTTGAATATGTAAGCAAGCTGCTTAAGGTGATTCAGAATTCAGTTTTCTTTCTTTAGGGCTAGGCAGCAGACTATAACAAGTACTAACAGAGAAGCAGAATTTCTGCTGGGGACCAGAAAGTCCAGGTTTTAAAGATGTCACTATTATTTAGGTTATTTGTCCAGATTAAAGCATAGAATAATATACTAGTTCTAAAGCTTCAGAACATTTCACCTGAGGGAGAAACTTTGCTCTGAGACTCATAGATATAACGGTACTTACCTGGTAGAAGCAGCTGCAATGTGACAGATGGGCACTTTCACTGCAAAAGCAAACAGAACAGGGAATAACAATACCTGTGATCTAGATCAACAGTTTTGTCACTGAAACCATGAACTGGCATAATATGCCATCATTGTTCAGACATTCTCCTTAACAGTTTCTTTAACAGTTCCTCTTCCGAAAGCTTAGGATTCAGAAAGGGTTCTACCTTTCTTCTCATGGTACATTTTGCTGAGCTGAACAAATATTGAGTCTCAGTGCAACTGTGGTAGCAGTGCTTTGGCAACTATTACTAATTCTTGTGCTTTCCTCTCCAATTACGAATCTAAATTGCCCACTGTCTTGTGTATTTAGTGCCTTGCCACTGCCAGCATGGGAGCTAGGCATAAGGACCCCACAACTCTAAACAGAGCTAAAGCTTCAAATTGTCCATTCCCATCCTATATATTATCTTTATATTTTCCTAGTGATAAAAATGAAGGTATGAATGTTTAAACCAATTGTGTTTGCCACAGTTGAGGATACAGATGAGGAAGACCTAATATACTTCTGTGATTTAACTGCTCATCTTTGAAATAATCTTTCTCTCTTGTTTGGTATTTTATGTGTATCCATAAACATGTTTATACTTTTGAAAAGGTTTTAGAAATGAATATGGTAGACAATCTCAATTTCTTGTGTAACCTGAAGGCTCTTTGTCTTGTTGTGGGAAGGTCTGTAGCTTTTGTGCGTGTGACAGTTCAATATGGCAGCTTAATTTTTTCATTTAAAGATGTGATCTTACCTTTTCAGTCAGAGATTGAGAAGCCTAGAGGAAGGAAGAAACCAGCTATCACAGACTCAGAAGAGAAACTAAGCATAGATGACCTGAATAAACTGGGACAAGAGCAGAAACTTAGAGGTAGTCAACGGGGAAGGAAGAGACCTGCAGTTGTTTCAGAATCTGATGAAACGCAATGGCAAGAGGAAAAAAGGCTAAAAGATGATGTAATAGAAAGTGAGGATGAACAGAACAGTCCACCAAAGAAAGGGAGAAGAGGACGCCCTCCCAAAGCAAATAATGGGGCAACACCAAAGGAAGAACCACCAGCAAAGTCATCAAAAAGGAGCAAAAAAAAACAAACGCCAGCAGCAGCAGTAGAAGAGGAGGAAGAGGAGGAAGAAAGGCAAACTGAAAACATTGAACAAAAGCCCAAAGGCAGGCAAAACAGGACAACGAAAAGAACACAGCAGAGGTAAGTCTGTCATCTTGTAAGCTGCATCTTTTTTATCCTTGGACATTAGTTATAATTTGATACTTTGCAATTTGGGTCTTCCTCAAAACAGAGCAGAACCATCTGAAACTAGTACAGTTGAATCAGCACAGTCTACGCCACAGAAAGGACGAGGAAGGTCATCAAAAACACCACCATCACAGCAAAAAAAAGTGTAAGTGGTGAATATTTTCTGAATTTGTGTTTAGTAAAAATTTAAAATATGCCTCTGTGCCCCCAAACAATCATTTACTGAAAACATTTCAGAATACTTTAATTGACAGTTATGAAAATAAATTGCCACTGTTATTTCTAAAGTGTTTTCCCCAGCTGCTTCTCCTAGAGCATCTCAAACTAGAGCAAATAGGCTACAAGTAAATTTAATGTGCTCAGGTAGCATATACGTAGCTTTGCTCTTCTAGGAGAAAAGTCAATAAAGCACACGAGGGCCTTGAGGATAAGGCTTTATTAGGACTCCAGGAGCAAAAAGTGTTCCTGTTTGTTCTAGACAGGGAGGAAGAATCAAATTGTTGCTCTTCACAATACCATTTCACCACAGTAAATCTATTCTGGTTCTCCTTAAATGAAATATCAATGACTCTAATTTGTGGCCTCCTCCTTGTAAGGTAATGTATTATCCACTTGAATCATTTCCAAATGAATAAAATGTGCTTATAGTCTACGGATAATAGTTCTAGAAAATCTTGAGGTGTGTTGAGCTACAAAATAAAGGTAAATTCTGTGGCTGGCTTCATTTTCTTGTGCTTACTGTAGAAACTACAGGTATCTCTACCTTTTCTATACATGTACACTTCTGCTTTACATATATTGCATGTACAAGTGGACAGGAAAATAAAAACTGGAACATGGAAGAGATTTGCAACATACTTCTCCAGGACCTGGTGTTAAATGCCTTAGGGCATGGCTTACACACATCTTTGGTTTGGCATTCTGTATTATTCTGTTGCCAGTATTGTTTTCCTAGCTTCTGGGCTTAGCATCCTGTTGATCTTCCTCTGACAGGATCCAGATTTGTGTCCAATTTGCCTATCCCTAGCAGATTTTGTTTTTTTTTTACATGCCTGAACTCCGTGCTAAACAAATTTGTACCTCCTGCTCTAGCATTTTGCACCCACAGTATCCCAACCTTTCCAGTGTTCTGTTTCCTACCTCTTTTCGCTCGTATGTGAAGAGATGAACCTAGCTTGTTAATAATTCTCCTCTTTCCTTTTCAATTTTGTTACTTCTGCCAGTCTTGGGAAGCTTCAATCAGGCTATTATGTATTGTTTTTCTCAAAGGATGTCAGGTTGCTTGGTTGGTGCTGAAACTCCAACTGTACTATAATTATTATGTGTAATTCAGGGGTTTTAGTCTAAACTGATTTTACCATGGTTCTCATGACTGAACATTCCCATCACATGTATGGTTTGAAGCTGTCAGAGAACAATTGTTTGGGGTCTGTATGACCCCACTGGAGATTGAAGCCTGATGTCTGCCTGGATGAGCATTTCTGGTTTGATTTCATCCAAAAGTTCACCTAGTTTGGGTGCACCAAGACATCTTCTCAAACCAAGCCTAAGTGCAGTAAGTGGGATGATTCAGTGATTTGCTTCCAAACTGTGCTAATGACACAAACCAAAATGGTAATGTAAGTGTAGCTGTAGTTTTGGATACATATCCAGTTGTCTTTTTTTTTTCTTTCAAGGTGGGGAGGATGTAGGGGAGACTAGTTCTCACTTTCAGCAGCTGGAATGTTTTTTTTTTTTGCTCGTAGTTCAGCTCTAATAACTAACTTAAGATATTGTTGAGTGATTGTTCTTGATTATCCCGATTAAGGTGGTATTATCCTGATTATCCCTAGCTCTTAGCACGAGCTAGCTTGGAAGATTTGCTTTTAGGTCCACTATAGTGTTAATTTCATAAATAGAAACATGCGAGTTCTTCTAGGTCTGTAAAAATATACATGCAGCTACTTAAATTCTGTGGTGTATAAACTGCTAAAGAAATAGAAGAGATCTATTTGTTCAGAAGAAGAAATAAATAAAACAGTTGCTGCCTGGCTTTTCCTGGTTACTGTTGTGTGTCAGCCTTCTTGGCCTGTGTTCTGACACTGAAGAGAAATATCTGTCCTGTCTATAGATGCAAAAATTGCTCCACATTGTACTCCTGGTTCTTTATTCTGGAAGAATTTGGTTTCCTATTGCCGTTGCTCAACCTCCTATTTATACCTCTAGTGTTCTTTCTACAGATGAACTAGAAAGGCATGTAATATGTACTATATAAATTGAAATTTTAAGGCTGCTGTTCTTACAAAGAGGAATGTTTGTTCTCTTGCAGAGTTTATACATGTGCAGACCCATATGGCATGAAACTGATCTGTATTTTTTTCCTGATTTTAGCCGTGCAGGACGTTCCAAACAAGCAGCCAGTAAGGAGAATGAATCTAGTGAAGAGATGGATGTATTTCAGAGTACTTCACCTGTCAGTGATGACATTCCCCAGGAAGAAGTAATGGAAGAAGAGGAAGTCTCCACAATCAATGTAAGAGAAATTCCTTAGCTTTTTTTTTTCTTAGTCTGTAGTGTCCTCTCTGTATTGACTGACTTCCCCTGTTCTTGTAAGCATCCCTTGTAACTTAACCTTCCTCCTTGAAAATGAACGAGGTGTTTGCCACCTCTGTGTTTTATAGTGGCACTGCAGTGTAGTTTCTTGTAGAATCTGCATTTCTCTGAGAGAAAATACTAGTTTTTGTCATCTTAAATTTTCTATTCTGTTTAACTTTTTTAATCTGAGTTTTGTAGTACATCATGGGAATTATTTTCTGGGCAGCTTGTACCTATTTTTGTCAGCTAGATTATAACAGTGAGTTATGTTTGTTTATGCAAAAGAGGAATGCAAAATGAATAGCATCAGATAACAATTACAGAAACTTGGAGCAGAATTCTAAACCAATCTTTTTCCTCTTTCTAGCATATGCAAATATGTTAAAACAAGTTTATTTAATTCTTACAAATATGTTAGGGGTGTTAATAGTAATATGATAGATGTAATTAAAGATGCCTTTCAACAAATCTGATGATTGAAGCATCTGAGGACGTTAGATTATTTTTTAACACTTGAAAGATGCAGGTTTACAACATCAAACAAATTTATGTCTGGGCCATTGATCAAGGCTTGCACCTGTGATAAAATTAGTAATTAATGACACTGTATACAGTTACTTAAACATTATGATGAAGTAAGCATTTTTCCCATAAACTACATTTATTCTAGACTTTTTTCATAACTTTTCTGTTAAATATTTAAAATACTTTTTTCCCCAAACAGGTGCGTCGCAGAACTTCGAAAAGGGAAAGGCGATGAGTGAGCATGTAGTTATCAGCCTTCCAGGTGAAAGCTTTGAAGAATGCTTTTAATATAAAGCTTGAGACTGAACGAAGCTGTTAGTGCACAAATGGGGTTGCTGAAAAAAGACAAAGCCTATTTTACTTTTACTGCCCCGGCATTTACAGTCCCTAGGTCACAAGCTTTAGCCACACACATGTTGATATCATTAACTGTGGGTTTTTGTGAAGTGTAATGTGCGCTGGCTTTGTAGACATATGAACTAAAGAAAACTGTAAATAGTTCTTTTTTTAATGTTTCTGACTTCTAAAGTGCTTGTATAGCTTTTATCTGCGGCTTTAAACTGACAGTGCCCCACTGTTTATTGGATCTATTGATTTAAAAAGGAGCAGAGTTTGTTAAAAATTGATCTCAAGCAATATCTGTCAGTGTTTGTATTTGTACTCTTGTTGACATTTAACTGTGAAAAAAAATCAGTTGAACAAATAGTGCCACTTTTGCCACTATTTGTTAAGAAGAAGAAGAAGAAATGCAATAGTGTTTGTTTCCTTCATGAATCTAACCTAGTGTTTACCTTGAGGCACCTACCTGTCATCAGAGGTGCTAAATTACTTTCTTTTACAGTTGAACAATGTTGGATAGAATAATACAAGAGATGCAAATTGTGGAAGAAGTTGTTTGACTTGTTTTACGCCTCAGTATTGATTCCAGACTTTTCTGGACTTCTAGTGGCATTGAAAATTCAAAAAGGATTTAAAATATTATAATTTTAAAAGTGTGTTATTAAATAATGTACTGAATACCCTCCCCAATTTATCTTCCCCTATCAGTTTTTATTAATCTACTGTATCAATAAAATTCTGTAACTGAGTTTTTAATAGTCTAGTATGTTAATGTGTATAGATATTTCCTTCTGAACATGATGTTCACAAAGAGCAAATTATTACTACATTATAATACGAAATCTGATATATAAACATTAGTGAAAATACAGTTCTTATTACAATGTAAAGTTAATCACAAAGAAAAATTTTATTGATGCAGTGTGTCTTTATAAAGCTGTTCTTGAGAGCCAAGTGTTTTGTATTTTATAGTGAAGTTGCATGTTTATGAAAAATGTGCTGAAAATGGGATGTAATGTTTTTTTTGGAAACTCGTATCTAGCAGTAGTATATGGTAGGTTGCCTCATGAGAGAACCTTCTATTGAAAGTTTATTGTACTTTTTCTTTTTTTTTGTGAGCCAAATTTTTTTGGTATGAAGAGCTAAGATTTTGTTGAATGATTGCAGTCAAGTTGATGATTGCAGTCAAGGTATTCAAGATTTGAATGAAGCTCCATTTTTATTTTATGACCATAGAGAAGGTTGTATTTGTGTTTTTAGGTATAATCTGAAAAAGAAAAAAAAAAGAAACAAAATACTTAGTCAATATCCTGTATGCAGTTTTACAGTTTACAAACTGTCTTTGAAAACCAAAATGTATAGGTTACTACACTATGCTAAGCCAAGCACATACTGTAATTTCAGGTGCTGTTCTCTCTCCGGTTCCCCACCGTTGAAAACATATGAAAAAATCAATTTCTAACTTACAAAAAAGTAATCTCATTGAATAGTGGAGCATTTTCATACAATCCATCAAGAAATATGTTACAGTTGCAAGGTGGCTTGTGAAGATTAGAGGAAAGGATAATACCGAAGCACGGATTTACCCATTTCTGAACTACGATATCACTAGTAAAGAAACCTTTAGACTTTTTTCATTATGTATTTTTTTTGTTACTGATGTAAAAAGTGTTTTAAACAACTAGATTATTCTGCCTCTGCTTAATTCCCCCCCACACCCCAGTATTCAGCTTTTCAATATTCATACCTATAGGTATGGGGGAAATGCTGCCTAAAAGGGCCATTATGGTTGGTTTGAATTGACTTTGAAATAGCTGGCACAACTGAGCTGGCTTACTTAGGCTTCAGCAGTGCAAATGCAAGTTGTTTTTTTTATTATTTTGTTTGTTTTGTTTTGTTTTTCCTTTACGGTATAAAAAAATTGAAAGCTAGCTTTATATTTTCCTCTTTGACTGAATTGCACTGAAAACATTTATGGAAGATGTATCTTTAAGTCCATTTTATACAAAAATATGAAAAATTGATGTTGAAACTGCTGCAGACTCTTGAGGCTTTATGTGCATAAACATGGTTAGGTTAAACTTCATCAAATATTGATGCACATTACTGATCATAATGTTTAATGTAAATTTTAAACTATAGTTTTGCAATTTAAATGTTGATTTCTTGGGTTATAATGTGTAATTCATTATTTCTTGAGAAATAGGCACAGCAAATATTTCATTCTTATATTCGAACCTCTTCTAAGTTCATTCTCATCTCATAAAGAAAATGAATATTTTATGTACTAACATTTTGAGATCTGCGTACAGTAGCTACAGTAGAGTATAATTATGTATAAAAGATAAATTGCTAACATTCAGTTAGCATGCTCTTCTGCAATGATAATGTTAAGTTTATAAAAATGTACTGTATTACATTAAAAGATCAAATTGAACTCACTGTAACAAGTTCCAGTATGAAATTTGTATGAGATTGCCGAAGTATCTTGCTGTACTTTGCAGCAAATTAAGCTTACCTTGTGTTAAATTTCTTCTTGCTGCAGTGCAACAGGAAACTTTCAGTGATCTGTAGTTCATATATAAAATGCAAACAGTGACTGTAATCTTCATACTAGAATAATTCACTATAATTCCAGAAGCATGTTTTTTTTTGTTTTTTTTTTTTACTTTTCACCAACTGAGATTATTAATATTTAAGAGTAGCTAACCCACAAACAGGAAGGAAATAAATGAAATTGCTTGACAGTTGTAGTGTAAGTACACCTTATCCACCTAGGATAATCTGGATTCCTATATCAATTATTTGACTCTGCCAATTGACTTTATTTTCTGGCAAAATGAATCCTTTTTCAAATATTCTGTTGTTTGCTCTTTTGACACTTCAATCTATGTGAACAAAACCAGAATTTACAAAAAAAAGTATTCATATTAAAGACACTTCCACTGAATATGAATATGTTCAATTTGTGACTAACTTGCAAAAAGCTTAGACTTGAAGATTAAATACTTCATTTTGGCATAGCATTTGTCATCTGATGTTCTCAAGAAAACCCACTTCACAGAGCTGTGAGTGCATTTGTATTGCTATTGATTAATATTTTGCACATGTAGGTTTTGACACATGATCCAAGCCTGCTTTTGTGAGTGTATACAGTAGGCTTTGGATCCAGCAAGTTTACATCCCCGTGGTTTTGTGAGATTTAGTTCTTAAATGCGTTTGTCATGTGCAAATATAAGTGCACATCCACGTACATTGATACGTTTCAATATCCTAACACTTCTGCATACAGGGCATGTAACAAAAAGGGAGTATACCTGTATATTAAAACATGTACACCCCTGACATGCAAAATTCTGAGTTTGTAGATGGAAACTTCTTTGCAAACCTGTCTGTGCTTAAAAAAACATACATATTTTGCAGAGATTGATGTATCTCTACCTCATCCAGGTAGGTGCAGTACATACTTTACGAAGAATTTTTGAAGTAAGTACATTCAGGTATACCACCCCATGCTTGTCCAAGGCAGTATGTCTACAAACACGTGAGTAAGACAAATACTTGATGGCCATTATTCTTCTAGTAGACTGCTGGCTCTTTGTTTTTACCATTATGAGGACCCAAAATGATAAAATTGATCTAACAAAGACCTTCTGTCCAGTCATCCATCAAGAGGAGCAGATTGTTTTTAATTTCCTGTTGTGCTTACAGGTTGTCACTCCAGTCTTTGCATCTTTGTTGGATGTTGCCTTCACAGATGCCTGCTAATTTTGGTGCAATTTCCTAATGCTGGCAGAAGTGACTTATGTTATATAGACATAAATAGACTTCCTGCTGTGTCAATAGGTTTATCCAACATATTTAGGACACTTGCTTCATGACATGCATTACAGCTTCTGGAACTCTGGTGCTTGTGGAAAAGTAAGAAGCCGAATATTGGCAAGGGGGATAGAAGTACAGGGGGAAAAACAAAACAAAACAAAACAAAAACTATTTGATTTGAATTTCTTCAGTTTCTGCTATCTAAAAAAATCTGCCCTCTGCACAAAGTTCACCAAGTGCCATTATATTTGTATAGGCAGGATAAACATAGTGTTATACTGTGTGTGTATGGAGTAACTGAAAGGTTTCACATTTGACATTTTTTTCAGTGCCTCACTACAGTCACGGTCTAGTTCATAGTAGCACATTTGTTTATGCAATGGTGATGTATGTGTGTTTTTTTTGTTTTTTGTATTTTTTGAGATAGCAGCATCATATCATATCTATGTAAGAAGGAAGAAAGGCTCTCAAATACCAGTTTCCAGTCCCACAAATCAGTATTGCAGTAATCATGTGATAAGTTTAGAATTAGCTTTAACATATATAACATTTTCAGAGAATGACTAACATCATGTAAGATGTTTTATTTAACATCTTGTAAGATGTTTTATTTGACTAGGTGTATTTCTGATACTTGTATCTTACCTCACATGCATAGATAAAAAGGAAGGAGTATTTTGAAAATCCAAACAGTATTACTGAATACATTTCCTGCTTGGTCAGAAGTAATTTTAGTATTAAAAAAAATAAAATTATTTGCAGTTCACAATTTTGTTGTTTCTGGGCAGATCCAGAGAACTAAAGGTTTCAGATACTACGTTTGATAAGTCTCAGTATTGTTGGATTTTTTTAAATTTTCTAGACAAGATACAATCACTGCAATTATGACATTCAGTATAACAGAAAATATGAGCTCAGTAACAGTCTTAGTAGTAGTAATTTCTGGTATTATAATACAGAAGAAAATGTTAGAATGAAACATTCTTCCCCTAAAACCTTTAATATGTTGAAAAGTCATGCTGATGATGTAAGACAGCTTTCTTCTAAAGTCACAACAACTTGAAATAGTCTGGTTGGGAATGTCTTCGGATTTTTTGGTAGATATATTTAAAGCTTACAGATTTCTCTGTGTGTTGGTTTTTTTTTTTTTTGGTACGTTTATATTCAGGAAATTAAATTATTGTAAACTAAAGATATTTTGAGGAACAGAAGAGTTTTGAATCCATGCCCAATAAAAAAGTAAGGTTAATTTTAAGTAGTGAGGTTTTTTTAGCCATATCTATATATGCAGTAACATATTACATGAATCTGGTGTCCACCAACATTTCTCTGGAGCTTTTGACCTACCACATACTGAGGCAGTAGAAAATGCCTTTGTGTTCCCCAAATGGTAATTGCTGTTGTCCTTCCATTAATGTTACTTTCAAAAGATACGAGCTGGAAGAGGTAGGGAGAGAAAGGTGACATTTTTTTTTACCTTCTGTTTATCTTCCGCTGTATTGTATATGGCTTAGGTGAGTGAGAAGTTTTGAGGTATGTAGGTGTGTTGAGTGAAAAATAGGATGTTATAAGTGAGTTACTAATTTGAAAGGTGCTACAGAGCTGACTAAAGGGTAGGGAATCAACAGATGAATGAGATGGGAGAGTAGTTACTCAATACGAGGTGGCCAGTGATAGGAGTCTTCTATTCAAACTGAAAGCCTTCATGAGGGAAGATAAATTAGTGTTTTTTATTTACTATTATTTTTGAGAGAGACGTGGATACGTTGCTTTCTTTGATTAGGAGGAAGAGGTAGCTGGAGTGTTGCAATATGTGTCAAAACACTCATTGAACTGAGACTAATGCTCAAGTGGTGCTAGTGCAAAGTGAGGTGGGTAGCTGCTACTGAGGCCAAATCTCATTTGTAAGGGATTTGAAATAATTACAAACAGGCAGATTCTATCCTCCATAGGTAGGAAGGTAAGAGAACAAATCATCCATCTGAATGCAATGCTGGAAATGAGGCAAGAGAGGTCAAGAAAAGCAATTTGGAAACAAGAACTCTAAAAGATGCCAAATTGTGCACCTGTAAGCGGTGTTGCACTGCAGATAGCAATGATCAGTGATGGTATCTTCTACGTGGCCTCATGAAATCTTTCAACTTGAGCTCTTTTCTTGGTAGCTTTTTGCGATACCCTTACAGTCCAGTCATCTTTAGCCATTTCAGTAGGCCTTGTTAGCAGCCTGGAATGGTCCTGCCCTCCCCTCATATACCTCACATACATAATGCCCTCTCCTAGATGCCCTGTGTCTTGTCATTGCTGCTTTCTGTTCCCTTCAGTGGGCCCCACCAGGCAAGTTTCTGAATCTTCTAACTCATTTGTGATGAAGGAAATGCTACTGTCGTGCTGCTTGTTTCACAGCCATCAGGTTGTGGAACAAAAGCAGCCATCTGACTACTGCCCCATACTGGAAAAGGTCTGTACAAGCTCTGCATTTGAACTAGAGAACTACTAAATGAACTGCTACCTTTTGTTATCTCCGTTTCCCATTGTCTGGTGTAGAAAGCTCTTCCTGAGGTTGTAGTAAATCAAAATTGTGAAACCATCTCCCGATATAGCCAGCATTATCCAATGCAATGGCACATAAGGACTACGTAAGTAGCCAAGTTTGGTTTACATCGAGTTTTGTGTTTGGGAGAACAAAAGGAGGAATAATTTGGAGGGATATTGGGCAGAAGTTTAGTTCAATTCTTGCTGCTTGTCTTAGGGAAGAAGCAAGTCCTTGATACAAATGTGAAAGAAAAATGATGATTTTGCAGTAGGGAAGATCAAATTTTGCTAAACCGTTTTCTTGGGTTCATGGAAGGAACAAGAAAAGTTACTCATAAAATATGTATCACTTTAGAAACTTTTAATGATTATGTGCTTGGGTACTATCCTGACCAATGTGTGGAGATGGCTTATGGGATATTAATTTTGCATGGGGCAGCATTTTAATCTCCACATGGATCTAAAATTGAATTTTGTTTTCTTCGTCCTAAGCTGCTCTAGTGTTTGTATTGGTTGTTTTTTGATAAAACTCCTTATATTTCATATTAGATCAGTATCCGTTACCCTCTTTCCTTTTTTTGTATTTATCCAAAATAAGGAAACGAGATTGCCATAACATAGAACTAGTATCACTAAGGGCTAACATACTGAGCTTAGATCGAATCCTCAGTGTATCAGGAGAACACTTTAAATCCATACTTAATTCACTGATTTACTCAAAACCTGTGACTACCTTGTCAGTTTTTTATGCTACCATTTGATATTGAATTTGGAACATAGTTTTCTTTTGTATTGTTTTCTGTTTATGTAAGTTGGGATAAAAGAGCCAATTGTGATCTACCTATTAAAAACACATATGTATGTTAATAGATTACGTAGTGTGTTGCTGCTACATCCCAGAGCATCACAGAAAAACCTTGTACGTTGTTTGGCCTCAAATACTTGTTTTCAGTGTAAACCAAATGCTTCTCTTGGAGCTCATGGAGCTGTAAAACAGCCCTCAACAGTCAGGACCTCCCTTCTGTTTGATACACATACGCTTATAGAAATGTTTTCAATGTATACAAATACTTGGCATAAACAGCAAAATGAAGGTGGAGCTTTGAAATACCATCTATAGAGTATTCAGAGCATTGTGAAACATTTGTCTGTGAATGATGACACATGCACACTTACGAGAAGAAAGGACTGCTTAAGGTTGGGGAGTGTTTTTGCATTATTCAGAGAAGCTCCTACTCCTTTCTCCCTCATGCTGTGTAAGTCTGTATGGGCAGTGTGCATCATGCCAGTGGTGCTTCTTTAAACTTCCTGATGAAATGCTAGAAGAACGGCACAAAAAGCTCTGTGGCCTATTGTCTTAGCAACTGACTCAGTCTTCAGAAAGACTCGATGAGCAGGTGCAGGGGCTCTGCTTTGGGTGGGGAGTAGTTTTTCAGGTGATCCCCTGTCCTTTCAGCTCCGCAGCAGGAGAGAAAGGGACACATTTCAAAAATATCTTCAGAACAGTGCCACTTTTTCAGGTCTGTTTGTATATCTAGATTGGCTTGGGCGTACATCAGTTCTCAGAGGAAAGAACTTTCTCCACGGTTAGTAATA